GGCATTGTCGTCATAAGTCAAGAACCGCCAACCGCATTTCGGCCATATATGCAGTTCGTAAGAATGTCACCTTGGCGGTTAAACTTAGGTTCTCGTGCGGTGACTATGTGCTGTAACCCAGCGTCTGATCTGCCCATAAGCTCAAAAGCAAGGAACATTCCCACTTCCCCAAGGTACGTATAGTAGGTATGGATATAGGTGGTGCACAATCGCATGATGAGCGCATCTACAGAAAAGAAAAGAAAATTATCATGAAAGACAGCTTCCTTCTACTACTTAGGTTGGGCATGTCTCAATACCAGAGCAATTCTAACAACAAACGAAGCGATGAATTCGTATATACTGTGTACAAACACCGTTGATACTACACAGTCTACAATATTAGTAGGTTGGCTATCTACTTACACAGTAGAGGTAAAGACTAGGCTTGAGATGCCTGATCAGGTTGCTTGAGTCCAAACTCGTGAACCCTTGCAAAGTGCGCACGAACACTGCTCATGCTTGTAATGGTCGGCGACGCGGCTCTACGTGACCTAAACAGGCAGTCGGTTGTGCTTTATCGCGCGTTTGTCTTACTACCCTGCCTCGCCTGCTCTTCACATGTTACAATGCAGAATTTCAGACTGTATGGCAGCATACGAGCGCGCGCAGTCTACACATACTTAAGTAGGTAGAGTGATGCAGGGGCGGCTATGTGCTCTAGTGTAGGTAAGTAGGTAGCGCATTCAAAAGCCTCATACATCATGGCGTGAGATAGGGGCGCAAAGACACTCTTTAGTACACGCTCCATGCTTACTTACCTAGGTATATCATCTCTTCTATGGTGCCATACCCATACCCGCGGACAGCATCCACCAGCAGCACCCTTTTCGTTCAGGTGACGGTGGGAGTATGCGATACCCACAGAAACCGCGTGCGTGGCTGCTGGCAACAGCCAAAAGAAGCGGCGTTCAGGAGATCGTAAGTTTTTTTCAACTCTGAACATCGTGGCCTGGGTCTGGTCTGTGTATGGCATGTTGATCGTGCTGCCATTCTCTTTTTCTTTTCGTTCTTGAATGGCACATCTACGATTCTGTACGATGTACTTAGACAGTGCACGGGAGATGACCGGAAGACCGGTTCTGGCCGGTGAATTTCACCGAGTACTTCGTACATCCTTACAACGCCATTATATACCGGGTTCCCCGCGGGGTACGGCACCTAGCGCAGACCTTCAGAGGGGTCGATGGTGGCGACTAGGCAGATTGTCTTCCAGAGTCAGCCCCAGAACCGAGCTTGGGTCTACTTTGGTCTGCCTCAATTTGCAAATTACCTAGAGCCATACACTTGGGGCTACAGGATCGTATTCTCGTTTCCGACTGTCGTCGCGGATGGGACAGACGTCACCGGTCAAATCCCAAGAAGCTAGTGCTAGTGATGTACCTATTGCCGTCGTCCCCAGTTGGTCAGTTAATCAGCGTGAATACAACCGCTCGTAGCCGAGCGAGTGTCGGGCCTTGCACCTGATCACTTTCCAGATTATACATTGCATCGGGTCAACCGCCTCGTTCCAATACTGCCGGAACCGACCGTCCTCGAAGGCGCATTTTGATGTCATCTGTCCAGTCTTCTGTTTCCATTCTAATGAAGAGAATGCTGAGGACCTTCGAAGACGAAATCCCGATCCTTCGTGCGTTCAATTGGCTGCGAGGTCGGCATCGCTCAGGACCTCGCCTTGATAACATCTTTCTATTAGGTGTATTCATCGTCTAATAGAAAAGCAAAGCCGCCAGTAGGATCACAGGGAGAGATCAAGCACCAGTATGGAATGAGGTAGGCAGGCACATCAAGCCTTCGCCAAGTCGACCGGGTAGTGCCCCTAGATTCGTGCTTCTGCAGCTATGATTCGTGTGATTCACGCAACGGCGTCGTGACACACCACCAGCTCACCTCCCCGGGCTGGTGGCTGCGGGGTAAGCTTCTTCATTTTCGCCTTTGAGCCGTGCAGCATCTCCAAGACAGGATAGCTGTGCAGAGGCTGTGGTACTGGTAAGCGCCTCACTAGGCTGCCGTTAGACTTCTCCCTAGAGTATGGATTGACGTAGGTGCACAACTGTCACCAGCAGATCCCTAGATACATACCGATAAAGTAGTAGTCAGATACAAGTCTACTCTTCCTACAGCCACAGCCCAGGCTGGGGAGGGCGGGATCAATGTCAACCAACCATTTCACTCCGATGTTTGCCAGGCGAACCGAACATTCGACCGTGGCTGACTCTCGGCGAGGAAAGGGTAATCAAATGTGAGTGGGGGGACAACACCACATACAAACACTCACATCCCACGACAAAGTGAGGCATATATAAAGTGAAGGATATCGCCTGACCCTTCATAGGACATATGCTCCCTCTACTCCTGCTACGCTTCTTCTCACTGTCTCTCACAAGAAAGGTCTAGCACCATTTAAGCCAAGTTACACTCAGGAATCGATTTGCATCATTCTTCCACGATACATCACCGTTGTAAAAGCATTGAACATCTTCAAACCTATTTCGTCTACGGTCATTCCCAGCGATGTATCCTTCACACTGTTGTCAGTGCGGCGGCGTGTTTGTCATCAACACGAGCTGCTCGTGGTGCAATCACGAGGAGTGCGCCAAATGCGCCTAATTCTTCCAAGTTGACACTCTCAGAGGGTGAGCAAAAGTTGAATAACATGTCAGTACGTCCCATCCTCGATATGACGAGCTGAACGTTATTAACACGGCTCTTAGTTTTAACGCATTAATACCCCGAACGAAGATACGACGAAAAAAAAACTCAGAGAGAAACCACAAAAATTGATGTTGGCCACTGTTGCGCACTGAGAATTGTGCCTATCGACGGCTCCTTTTGTATGAGCAGGCGGAAGTGAGGCGTTCGTCCTCACATCGAGAGCGGAAAGACATGAACAGTGTATTTGTGGCGGAAATCTCGGTGCAATATGGAGTTTGATTCAAGCCCTGCTTCGCGCGTTGTTTACCAGGCGTTGAGATGTATGAGAATGAACAAAACGGTCTATGGTTGATAGCGTTTAGATACCCTTCATATTCTCTTCAATCCAGCTTGAATTATCGTATCCTTTTTAGCTCTGCGCTACCGTCAACTTTCCGAGTGGCTGTCAGATTCGACATGTCACATACCAAGTCGAGACATAAGTGTTTCCCGCTAGTGTAGTATTCTTCGGCGTGGAAACATACCGGTCGCAAGTCGGTCAGCGAGCTGCAGTCATACACAGCTCAACGTTGGCGCATTTGTTTCAATGTTGGTGGTCTGTTCGTCATACCATGATGCCAAGCCCATTCACATGCACCAGTGTGCACCTTCGTGGCACACGTACTAGCTATGGGGTCGTTTCATCGATGGAAGGTCTGAGGGTTCGGAACCGATAGGTCCTTTTTCTGATATTCGACGCTTACATACAGTAGTACACGACCATCCACGCCTTGTAATGCGGACACACTAAGCGATGTGGACACGGGGGAGGAAGCGCAATTGTGGGTTAGCTATGGAAAGATCCGGAACACCTTTGCTTCCAGGATGCGGCCTGCATCCGAGAACATAGCAAGGATAGGCTGCCTGGTCGTCGTTTACCAGAAACTTATTCCTACTTGCTGCCATGCCATCCGACCCCTTCCAAGAGCATTCATAATAACAGGATCCGTCCTCTTTGCGGAGGTTCGTCGTCTCCACAGTAAGCCTAGGCAGCTTTACGCGGGTCAGCATAGGCACTGCTCAATGGGGGTAACGTCTCTCGACTGGCCCGCGAGAGGACAAGTTGACGCGTGATTGGTATCGAAGATCTACCTAATTCGCTTCGTTCTAGACGACAAGGCAGGAATCAACTACTAACCTGCACAAAAGCACACGAGAGATGAAAACGGGGAAAGCAGCCTTAACAGGAGAACCGGCCGCTTCTGTTAGTCTTTTGATTTTTCAAGAGTTTAGACACATTAACAAAAATCCGATATGAAACTTCGACTTTGGACAGTCAGCTCAATATGTAACTCGCGTTGACTCCCTTGCTGTTGGCTGCCTTGGTCGATATGCCAGAATATCCAGGATAACATTGAACTCTGCGGCAGGGCCCATGCTCTGACGTGTAAGAACTTGTTCGTAGATTCAAAAAGCGGTCAAAATACCGTATATCTTTTCTCAGCTACCTGCTTGCGCCACTCTAAGTGCCATGAAGGGATAGGCTCATCAGATATCTGGAACAAGACAGCACTGTTATGAAATGTACTATCCACACCTACCTCAAAAGCGGCAGGTGGCCAATTGGACTAATTGAAGCTATCCCCACAAATGGTTCGCCTCCATTATGCGCCTCGTTAGGACTACAGTAGTGTATTCAACCACATAGGTAATGACGGGGTGCTGACTCCAACAACATGTTACCGGTACAGCTTCATCTATTCAACTAATGGACTTTCCTATAGAAATTGATTAAATTAAACTCTAAATTATACTTGGATTATTAAGGATACCTGTATCTGGTATTTCCTTTTCTTTATTCTTACACCACAACTATGGGCATTGGGTGTTCTTCTACTTTGAAAACTAAGTGGGGATCATGTATGGCTGATGCACTACGGCTGTTAGGAGTTCTGCCTTGCTTGCATATTCACCTAACCCAGGGCATCTTGAGTCAGCCCGCGAGAGTCACTCCGAGATAGCCAATTTGGACTTTCTATCAGCCAGAGTATTGGGACGAGATACGCTAGATGAAGTCTGCCTTGCGGCAAACATACATAATATGTCGCTGAGCAAACATTGCTTGCATATAAATAAATGACGATAAACTCTCACGTAGTTCTAGGCCAAAGATTTGGTTCAATACTACACGGCATCAACACCAATCAGTGGCAACTTCAACAGCGATATTTTCCTGCATCATTAAGGCCTTTCTGTCGCAGCCAAACAGCTCATTCGTGCTCTTTTACAACCTGTTAGGAGGAACCATACCAGAGTCAGATCTCATAATGAGGACTAAATGCATTGACCCAAGCGATTTGGGTGGCGATTCTATTAACTCGCCTTCTACACCGACCTCTACTGATGATCCAATCACGACCATCCATCCTCTTAAAAACAAAGATGGTGTTATAGTGACAGTTCAGCCACCGGATAAGCCATTGAGTCCCGTCGCAGGTCATGTTCCGTGCGACATCGTTCTCGTCATCGATGTCTCTCAAAGCATGAGCGACAACGCCCCAGCCGCAGTGTACGATGAACAAGGAAACGCCGCCAAAGAGGATTTCGGTCTGACTAGTAAGTATTTGATGGATATTCCATTTTTATCCAAGGTTGCAAGGAATAACGCTAACACTCGGAAATGAAGTTTTGGATCTTACCAAGCATGCTGCTCGAACTATAGTGTCAACACTCAACGAAGGTGATAGGTTAGGGATCGTGACCTTCAGTTACAATCCACAGGTAGAAACCCGAAAGAGACCGAGTACTATCCAGGAGTTGGGCTTATATTTTCGGTACACAGATTATACAGGATCTTACTCCGATGACGGAAGAGAACAAGGCACAAATGAACGTCAGCATCGACAGCATGCGGACAGATGGTGCGACCAACCTTTGGGGAGGAATCACAGAAGGTCTTAAACTATTTGAGCCTGGGTGTTCAAACGGCCGTGTACCGGCGCTTATGGTTCTAACTGATGGACAACCTAACACTCAGTGAGTTCACTATAAGACACTTTTACTAAGTATAACAAACTAACAAGTCGTAAAGATGTCCCTCTCAAGGCTACGTTAGAAAACTCCAAACTATGGGCCCTCTACCGGCCTCGATTAACACGTTTGGTTTTGGGTACGATATTCGATCGGGGTTGCTCAAGTCCATCGCAGAAACTTCTAATGGAAACTATGCGTTTATCCCGGACGCCGGCATGATAGTAGGCATTCGTTTCCCTACGCTCTTTGTCTTAGCCGCTAATATCGGCCATAGGGAACAGTATTTGTACATGCAGTGGCACATCTAATCAGTACGTATGCAACACGTTGTACATTAGAGATAACCGCCACCAAAGGCGTGCTCTTGAGGACAACAACGGGAAAGCGTATTTCAGAGGAGCAAGACGAGGAAGAGGCTGTCGGTAGGGGAAAGCTGACGATTCAACTTGACAACTTGCAATACGGACAGTCTCGCGACATTTACCTGGAGAGTGTTGACGAGAAAGGACAAAAGAGCGCATTTACAGGATCTGGGGAAGATGGGATAATGCATGCAACGCTCAGATACTCCCGGATGGGATCAGCTGAATTTGTCACTTTCGCACACCAAGATATTGCCGAGCCCTCGAATCTCGGACCATCTGTGATCGCATACCACCAGAGTCGCTCGATGATTTGCGATTTGCTCTCATCCTTCGCCCCAATCTGGAACTCCGAATACGTGGATAAGCGCCTCGACAGTGTCCAAGATGAACGACGGCGTCTCCAGAAAGTTATCGATAGCATCCCGGCCAAGGATTACAAGGACAAATACAACAAATCGCTGATGCAGGATCTCAACGGGCAGGTCAGCGAGGCGCTGTCGCGCGAGACCTATTTCAATCGATGGGGCCGGCATTTCTTCTTTAGCTTGCGAAACGCTCATGAGAAGCAGCTGTACGTCCCACAATCCCGCAGAGGCAAGAAAAGGGTTAAAGACTAACATGGCAAAATCTCAATTATAGCTGTAACTCGTTCAAGGACCCGGGTCCTCTCATGTACAACGATAACAAGCTCTTCAACGAGTACCGCGACAACCTCGACGCGACCTTCAGTCTCATCCCGCCTCCGAAACCTACCGCTCGAAAGCGTAAAGCCAAGGCGCCGAAAATCTTCTCCATGGCCAAGTTTCATAGCCAGGGTAACCCGTGCTTTGCCGGTTCGAGCCATGTTCTGCTCGCGGAGGGTTACGAGACGCCGATATCGAATCTACGACAAGGCATGTTGGTCAAGACGCCGGTGGGGGCTCGTGGTGTGCGAGCCTTGTTGAAGACGCAGCCATCTTCTAGCGCTACCATGTGCCGCGTTGAAAACTTGCTCGTGACGCCCTGGCATCCCATTAAAGTCGATAGGTCTGAGAATGAACACATCCACGGTACCGAGTGGGTATTTCCTATAGATGTTGTTAAGTCAACGGAGGCCTACTCAGAACCTGTTTACTCTGTACTGCTTGAGCCGCATGAAGACGTGGACGCCCATGCTATATATGTCGGTGGCGTCTGGGGCGTCACTCTTGGACACGGCATTACCAGCGGGAGTGATGTTCGAGCTCACGAGTTCTTAGGCGACTATAGTGCCGTTTCTAGAGAGTTGATGACGCTGGGATCTGGTGAGGATGGTGTGTACTCTAGTGCTGGGGTGAGAAGAGATGGTTGTACGGGTATGGTGTGCGGTTTCGCATCCCCACCATCGATTTATGCGAACGAGATGAAAGGTATGGATCGCGTGCAACCATATAGCAGGGTCGAAACATTGTGTGCTTGAGGATACCTAAATAGGTCGACTATAAGGTACAGGAATGACAAGCTTCATATATCTCGTAAGACATGCCATTCTCGCGAATCTGGTATAGACACACGTGAAACAAAGCGATTCTGAGAGTGGTGATGTAATACTACGCCAGATGTTCCCTGTGATCGACTCGGCTCTATTTAAGCTTAATCGAGCAACTCTATACTCCGTGGTAGTCTCTGCAAAGCCCTCGTCATGGATTGAGGAGCATTTTATATAAATTACCTTGACTGGCCGCAAAAACAACTCCATAAGTAGCATATTTTCAATTGCCGTCGTGAAGTCTTTCGTGAGGAATTCTACATACAATGCCGTCAACAAAAGGGAAACCAACCGATCCTGAGCTCCGAGAGGGTCTCAAAGAGGGTAAGTGCATCACCAGTGATCGAAAAACTAGGAATTTGCTGAGCCAGTGGACAGAAATCAAACAGGAACCCAATAAATCCGGAGGTGGCGAGGGAGAGTGGTCCGCTTGGAAGGTATGTACGCAATCTCTGTGTCTATCTACTTGTCCCATTTGTTATTTCATGTTGGTTTCTCGATCGCTGACCTCACCGTCGTAAAAGGCGAACAAGTTAGCCAAGGAGTATGAGAAACATGGTGGTGATTACGAAAATCAGCCAGGATCCAAAAACGAGCCTAAAAAGGGGGCACCCGAGGCTAAGAGCGAGTCTAAAAAAGAGGGGGGAGACGTAGCTGGACTGGCTTGAGCCTGACTATATAGAGGGGATTGGGCTTTAGGTTGAAAGCATCAATAATTAGGCTCTAGATAAATGTAATACTGCGACTCTACGGTATTGATTGTTGTGTTTTTGATATGGGCAAGAATATTGTGAAATAGATGACGAAAGGATATTTGCGCGTGTGGCTTATGCCCTGGGGGAAGATCTTGGCGGGGTTGCTGCGGAGCCTAAAGCTACTGTGGCTGAGAGCTCCTCCGGGTGCCCGCTGGGGTTATTTGGTTAGAGCAAGGGGGTCTCCTCCAATAGCAACCTTGAACACATGGCCTCAGCTATCAACTTGTCTTGAGTCTTGATTATCGTCATCTTGCTGAAATGTCCTTTTCACCCATAATATCTCCGCCTTGAATTTTCACTGCTTCAAAATGCGGCAATCTCAGGCCTTGATGCTTTTGGGCATCATCGCCCAGAATGGGATTGCCAAAGCTTCTTCATTACCGAGAGGCGTTGGTCCTGAATGTAAGCAAGCCACTTTGTTCTAAGCCAGACGGCCTCTGCCTCTCTGTCTTTTTTGGACAGCATCGAAACCCGCCGCTTTTTCTACCCTGCCCATCGTTGGCAATCAATTGATTGAATGGACTGATTGTTCATGCAATGCATAATTGAGATCATGTGCTAACGAATTGAGCTCCGCAGTTGCCAAATTTTACGAGATCAAAGAGACCTTCGCCTGCATAGCTCATCCCTCCGTCGTTATCAAGGCCTCGCAAGTCAATGATAACACTTGCGACTGTCCTGACGGTTCAGATGAACCAGGCACCGCTGCCTGCGCCATTCTCGACAGAGCATCGCCTATACAACCCCTTCCTGCGTCTCTGTCAGGAACCACCAACACAACAAACGCCTTGCCCGGCTTCTGGTGCGATAATCAAGGTCACATTGGCGCCTATGTGCCTTTCATGTTTGTCAATGACGGTGTCTGCGACTATGACCTGTGCTGCGATGGTAGCGAGGAGTATGGACGGGCTGGTGGTGTGAAGTGCGAGAATAGGTGTGCAGAAATTGGCAAAGAGTGGCGACGCATTGAGAAAGAGCGCACTGAAAACCTCGAGCGGGCAAACAAGAAGCGCCGAACCATGATCAAAGAGGCTAAGGAGCTCCGACGTCAGGTAGAAGCCCGTGTTACCAAGCTCGAAGGCGAGATCAGAGACCTGGAGAAGAAAGAGGCTGAGCTGAAGACTAAGTTCGAGGAGGTTGAACGGTCAGAGCGTGGCAAGGTCGTGCGAAACGAGGGTCCGGGTAAACTTGGCGTGCTAGCGGGTCTGGCTAAGGCAAGAATCAACGAGCTTCGAGACGCCTTGTCCGACGTCGTGGATGAACGCCAGCATCTTCAAGGCAAAGTGGCCGAACTGGAGGGTATCTTGTCTGCCTTCAAGGAAGAGTACAACCCCAATTTCAACGATGAGGGTGTCAAGAAGGCTGTTAGGTCCTGGGAAGACTATGCGGCTCGAAAAGTAGAGGAAGCGGCGGAGGAACTCGATCTCGAGGAAGTGATGAAGGAGGATAGCGAGACCTCTGGGATCAATTGGAATGAGTTTGAAGATGAGGGAGCTACCGACACTGACATATGTATGTGTCCCTACTCATCTCCCAGAACGTCATCTGGGTAGTTTGTTTTTGCTAACATACAGCAGTGTACAGTTTTGAGGCTTATCTTCCTGGACCTCTCCGAGATTTCCTACACGGGAAAATCACCAACTTACGGGTATGGCTGATTGAAAATGGCATGCTGGCCGACACTATATCAAAAGAAGGAGAGTCGCAGCTAGTTAAGGCAGCTCGGGAAGCCCATGACGCCGCAGCCAGGGATGTACAAACTAAGCGGAATTCCTTGAACGATGAGAAGCAGAATCTTGAGAAGGACTTCGGCACCGACGACATCTTCCGAGTTCTCAATGGCAAATGTACGTCAGTTGAAGCCGGCGAGTACGAGTATGAGCTGTGCTGGATGACGCAGACGACGCAGAAGAGCAAGAAGGGCGGCTCACGCACGAACATGGGCAATTTCGACAAGATCACTTTCAAGGAATCGGACGAAGAAGAGCGCCATGACGGCAAGGGCCTCGGCCGTGGAAAGCGCATGGTCCTTGAGTACACCGGCGGTCAACACTGCTGGAACGGTCCTGCCCGCAGCACGAACGTATGGCTCGCGTGCGCCGAGACTGAGGAGCTATGGCGGGTGAGCGAGCAGGAGAAATGCGTGTACAAAATGGAAGTCGGTACGCCGGCGGCATGTGAGGCGCCTGCCAAGCCGGGTCATGTGAAGGATGAGTTGTGATAAGTCTGGCATAAAGATCCATACATACGGCTAGTCCGAGGCAGGACTCGAGTTGCTACATTGGCGATGCAATGGATATACTTCATTGAAATGTGGTTGGCAACTGTACAGAGAGGCATGGATTCGGCGCAGCTAAAACTTAGAGAGCGGATGACTTATTATATGAATACAATCTTCTTCATTTCTCATAATTCGTGGATTTGCTATGATTTTCAGATACAAATGATGTCGCCACAACGCCAATATGCCAAAGGATAAATACACCAGATGCTTACCGTACCGCAGCTGCTAGCTTTCTCTGTTTATTTCGTTCGTCCTGTTCAGCGAGGACCTTGGCCGTAAGCGTAGCAGTCATGGAATTATTGATGCGACTCGAGATGTCGCCTCGATCTTTCTTTTGTTTCTTCTCCTTTTGCACCGGCTTGTCTCCGTTGGCACCATTCTCATGTGCTTTCCCATCTTCTTCTTCCGCTGCCTTGCGCTTCTTCTTGCCGCCTGCGGACTTGTCCTTCTTCAGATTATGCGCTAGACCAGCGGTTCGAAGCGCTTCTATGCGCGCTGTGCACTTTTCAACGTCGGCCTCGTCTACGGGCAGTATGGGGACCAAATCGCGTAGCGGGAATGCTTCACTGCACTCTGGGCAGTTACTTCTCTTCTCTGGCGCCGCATCCGCACCTGAACTCTCCTCGGCCGCGAGGAGTTCTCTCACGACTATCTCTGTGAACACGTGGCCGCAGGGCACTACGTACACGGCGCGCGTGCTAGGGCCCAACTCCTTCATGCTTAACGGACACGTGCGAATCTCGCCGCGCTTCTCGTCTTTCCGGATGTTGAAGCGCAGCTTGACGACGTCTTTTAGAGAGCGGATGCCTGAGCGCGCGAACTCGGCTGCTTCCTGCGATTGCTTCTCCTCGGCTGCGGGCTCATTGGCGTCGGCGCTGGGCATTAGACACCGCAGCACCGTTTCGTAGTTGTATAGGCGCCCGCGCGAGTCTGATACGGTGTTGTGGGGGTCTAGCGGCTCCGACGATATGGGACATGTCGTCCAGGCGTGTGTGAGGGACTCGAGCGCTGTGGCTTTGAGCTCGGATGTCGTGGGCAGGCGGGCGGCTTCTTTGACGAGCTCGCGCCGCTTCGGGATTGAGCCACCGTCATTACCCATGAGGACGGCTTCTGAGAATGCACGTTCGGGATGTCTGGGTGTGTGTCGGTTGCGCAAACTGGGGTCTTCAATGGCGGGCTGTACAGCCTAAAGAGTCGAGTATCTAGTTTTAAGGCCTGATGCAGGCGATAGGGAAACAAACAACTACCTACTATAATTGAGGTATCTACTTGGAGGGTTTGCGAAGGTCGAAGCCAGTTCAATGGATGTTTGCCACATTTGATAAGATATGGAAAGCTCAATAGCACTAGCGTACTTTCTCGAGTAGCGCTGGAAACAAAGGTCTCCACCTCACCCCTAGTGCACTAGGCTAGGTGCAGTGGTACCTAGCCTTGCTGCAGCATTGTGCACTAGCATGTTACAGTGCATATTCATGCTGATCCCACCTTGAGAAGCGAGGAAGCTCGAGTTCTGCTCGAGAAGGGACCAATTTGGGTACTTACGCACATACCTAGCGCAGTAAATAGTTACTTTCTGTAAGTGTGCTGGTGCATGCTATTCCGCCTCTAATTACCTAATTGTAGCGCTGAGACAGGTAGGTACATGTAAGTGAGGTAGGTAGGTAGGTACATTCATATAGGTAGCATGTTGGAGGCATCACTGTACATACCACTTACTTACTTAGGTACACAGGAAATGGAAACGAGACACGAGATCACCAGACTGACAGATCACAAGTTGCAAGCAAAATCCCTTGCCCTTACCGCTTTTCAAGACTCTCCCTCCCTCATCTTCTGTTCAGCACGGCCACTCGACTGAGCGAACTTGGAAGGTTACCTATTGGAAGTAAGGCATATACGTACCTACTCCGTACTGACTCTGTACTGCGGTACCTGGACCTTTAAGTCCCTAGCAAGCGCTACCTATCCGGGACCTTGGGCAGTCCAAGCTTTTTACCCACTCAATACCGTCAGTGCATCACGGTCTGCTGCCACCACCATTTATATAGTACACCGCGATCCAGCATCACATTTCACCGTTCAAGGTTCCTACAAACCGCCGACCCCACATTCTCATCGCCTCGCTTTTCGTGCCACCAGCGCCTGCGGTGTTTATAGGTTTTGACTGTAGCCTGTGCAAGGCTCCCCTCCCCCTCTCCGCTTCCTCTCCGTTCATCGACACAAACTTGCGATCCAGCATCGCAAGCCATCCGTCCCATCCTTCATGCAGGTGTAAACCGCCATCCGGAAGCTGTCTGGCGCGCGGCTGAGGGCGTCCATATCTCGCCCATCATGGCGCAACAATTACAACAGGCTCTCGAGTCCCTCGACTCCATCACGAGGGAGCTCAAGTCCAGGTGAGTCTCTTTAGTGCTGCTATGTTCTCTCTCATTTGCCTACTCTCGCTTGGTCTGCGACGCCGAGGCTGTTCACGGCATCTAACATTCTACTCTGAATAGGGCCGGTGATGACGTACGAAGACGAGCTGCTGCTCAGCTGAGGGATTTGGTGGCTGTCTGCTATCGAGGTGAGCTACTTGACTCCTACATATCCTTGGTAGTGGTTACTGACCATGCACGTCCACACCTGTAGACTTTCCCGCCGAAAACTTCCAAGTATTCTACAATTCCGTCAATAACAAAATTACCAATCTCATCCTCCACGGCAATGATTCATCTGAGCGACTGGGTGGCGTTTACGCCCTTGACGCGCTCGTTGACTTTGAGGGTGTCGACGTTACCGCCAAATACACCCGATTTCCCGCGAATCTCAAGACCATACTGAGGGGCAAGGACATTGTGCCTATGCAGCCGGCTGCTATTGCACTGGGAAAGTTGTGTAGACCAGGCGGATCCCTCATCTCTGAGCTGGTCGAATCTGAAGTCAAGACCGCTCTCGAATGGCTCCAGTCTGACAGGATTGAAGAGAAGAGATACAGCGCTGTTTTAGTCCTCCGCGAACTTGCCCGAAATGCCCCAACTTTGATGTACGCCTATGTTGGTCTCATCTTCGAGCTCATATGGGTTGGTCTCCGGGACCCGCGCAACCTCATCCGAACGACGGCTGGAGAGACCGTCTGCGCTTGTTTTCGTATCATTCGTGAGCGTGACCAAGAAATGAAACAGACATGGATGAGTAAGATGTACGCTGAGACTCTGGTGGGCCTTAAGATGAACACCATCGAGAGTGTTCATGCCTCTCTGCTGGTACTAAGAGAGCTCTTAGAGCAAGGCGGCATGTTCATGCAGGACCATTACGAAGAAGCCTGCGAGATTGTTTTCCGACACAAAGATCACCGTGACCCGACGATTCGGAAGACGGTTGTCATGCTCATACCTGACCTAGCCAACTACGCTCCAGCCCAGTTTGCGCATACTTATTTACACAAGTTCATGCTTTTCCTCTCTGGTATGTTGAAAAAGGGCGTAGAACGCAACGAGGCGTTCTTGGCTATTGGTAACATAGCCAACTCGGTGAAAAGCGCGATTGCACCATATTTAGATGGAGTCTTGATATATGTACGAGAAGGCCTCAGTCTTCAGTCTCGCAAGCGAGGCTCTGTTGACCCTGTCTTTGACTGTATCAGTCGATTAGCCGTAGCAGTGGGCCAGACACTAAGCAAGTATATGGAGGCCTTGTTGGACCCCATATTCGCCTGCGAGTTGACACCCAAACTTACACAGGCCCTTGTTGACATGGCCTTTTACATCCCGCCTGTCAAGGCTACCATCCAAGAACGGTTGCTAGATATGCTTAGCAAGGTGCTATGCGGAGAACCGTTCAAACCCCTCGGTGCTCCTACCCCCAATACCCTCAGCGCAGTACCAATCATCCCAAAGGATGCCAAAGATCCTCAAGTGTATGAGCATCGCAAAGCAGAAGTCAAACTAGCCTTGAATACCCTAGGCAGCTTCGACTTTTCAGGTCACATATTAAACGAGTTTGTTCGCGATGTTGCTATCAAATACGTTGAGGATGACGATCCTGAAATCCGAGAAGCAGCTGCATTAACATGCTGTCAACTCTATGTGCGGGATCCCATTGTCAACCAGACTAGTCATCACGCCCTTCAGGTCGTGGGTGATGTTATTGAAAAGTTGTTGACAGTTGGTGTATCCGATCCTCAATCGAACATCCGAAGAACTGTGCTGGCTGCTTTAGATGAACGATTTGATCCTCACCTGGCTAAAGCAGAGAACATTCGAACACTCTTCTTCGCCCTCAATGATGAGGTCTTTAGTATCCGAGAGGTAGCTATTGCGATCATTGGGCGCCTGGCGAGACATAATCCCGCCTATGTCATCCCCTCACTTCGAAAGACTCTTATTCAAATGCTCACAGAACTTGAATTCTCAGACGTGCCACGAAATAAAGAAGAGAGTGCCAAGTTACTTAGCCTTCTGGTACAAAATGCACAAGGATTGGTTAAGCCATATGTCGACCCTATGATATCAGTACTTCTCCCTAAAGCAAAGGAGCCAAATCCCTCTGTTGCTGCTACTATTCTCAAAGCAATCGGTGAGCTAGCAACAGTGGGCGGCGAGGATATGCTACCTTACAAAGACAAGTTGATGCCCATTGTCATTGATGCTTTGCAAGACCAGAGTTCTATTGCAAAGCGCGAGGCTGCACTGCATACATTAGGTCAACTGGCCAGCAACTCAGGATATGTTATAGATCCCTATCTCGAATACCCGCAGCTCCTGGAGCTGTTACAGAATATCATCCGAGCTGAACCTCAACGTGGACCTCTAAGACAAGAGACTATAAAGCTGATGGGGATTTTAGGCGCGCTAGACCCTTATAGACATCAGGTATGGTGAACCCCTTCTATTGTTATCTCACAACTCCTTCGTGTCTATAGGTGTTGGCTGAGAAGCTGAAGACAAATATTCTATATTGCGTCTGACCTATAGACATTCTTGTTGTACCTTGACTTTGCTAATTTGAGTGTTTTTTGAACAGCAAGTTGAAGAGCGCACTCCAGATGCAAAGAGAAGTGTGGACACTAACCGAATGACCGATATTTCGCTAATGATGACCGGCCTTACTCCATCTAACAAAGAGTATTACCCTACCGTCGTCATTAACTCTCTGCTACACATCCTCAAGGATCATTCACTCGCACAGCATCATGCTGCTGTTGTTGAGGCAATCATGAATATCTTTCGAACCCTCGGCCTAGAATGCGTCTCATTTTTAGACCGCATTATTCCTGCGTTCCTTTTAGTCATCAGGAGCTCTCCTCAGAATCGCCTTGAATCATACTTCAACCAACTGGCCACATTGGTCAGCATTGTACGCCAGCATATTAGAACATACCTACCATCCATTGTAGAGATCCTACAGGAATATTGGGAGATTTCACCCTCTCTTCAGAGCACAATTCTGGCACTAGTAGAGGCAATCTCTAGATCATTGGAAGGAGAGTTCAAGATTTACCTAGCTGGCCTACTACCTATGATGCTTGGTGTTCTGGAGAAGGATTCTACTGTCAAGAGGACACCTTCAGAGAAGGTCTTGCACGCGCTTTTGGTCTTCGGGTCAAGTGCCGAAGAGTATATGCACCTTATCATTCCAGTTATTGTGCGTACTTTTGAAAAGCAAGGACAACCAACTTTTCTAAGAAAGCTCGCTATTGAGACAATTGGCAAAATCTCGCGTCAGGTGAATCTGAACGATTATGCCGCCAAAATCATTCATCCCTTGGCGAGAATCTTAGCATCTGGCGATATATCTTTGCGTGTAGCTGCCTTGGATACGCTCTGTGCTCTTATCCAGCAATTAGGCAGAGACTACTTGCACTTTGCTGGTACAGTCAACAAGGTGCTCCAGAGTAGCCCAATCCAGCACCAGAATTACGATCTCCTTCTGTCGAAGTTGCAAAAAGGAGAGGTATTGCCGCAAGATTTGAGCTCCGAAGCTCGATTCAACGACCAGACCGACGAGTCTAACTTCGCCGAACTTGCTACAAAGAAGCTGGAGATGAACGCCATTCATCTTAAGACTGCATGGGACACAAGGGGCAAGTCCACAAAGGAGGACTGGCAAGAATGGCTACGAAGATTTAGCACTATGCTACTGACCGAGTCTCCCAATCACGCTTTGCGGGCCTGCGCGTCTCTCGCCAGCGTCTACCTCCCCCTTGCGAGGGAATTGTTTAATTCGGCTTTTGTCTCGTGTTGGAGTGAGCTTTATGAGCAGTTTCAGGATGAACTAATACAAAACATCGAGAATGCGATCCGATCCGAAAATGTTCCCCCCGACTTGCTCGGTCTTCTTCTTAACCTGGCTGAGTTTATGGAACATGATGACAAAGCCTTGCCTATCGATATCAGAATCCTCGGTCGGGAAGCCGCTCGTTGCCATGCTTATGCTAAGGCACTTCATTACAAGGAGTTAGAATTCTTACAGGACCAAAGTGGACCAGCTGTGGAGGCTTTGATTGTCATAAATAATCAACTGCAACAGTATGACGCAGCTATTGGTATTCTTCGCAAGGCGCAATTATACAAGGATGGAATTCAGCTTCGAGAAACCTGGTTTGAAAAGTTAGAGCGTTGGGAGGAGGCCCTAAACTTCTACAACAAGAGGGAGCGAGAAATTCCTGAAGACCAGCCCGTCCCCATTGATATTGTGATGGGCAAGATGCGATGTCTACATGCACTTACGGAGTGGGATGCGCTCGCCAATCTCGCAGGCAATACGTGGGCCAACTCAGCACCAGATGTCCAACGACGTATTGCTCCTCTGGCAACAGCTGCTGCTTGGAGCCTGGGCAAGTGGGACGCTATGGAAATTTACCTGTCATCAATGAGGCGAAACTCCCCGGATCGTTCATTCTTCGGAGCAATCCTTGCCCTTCACCGCAACCAGTTTAGAGAAGCGACAGCTAGTATCCAACAGGCACGGGAGGGACTAGACACGGAGCTCAGCGCCCTCGTAAGCGAGTCATATAATCGTGCGTACCAGGTTGTTGTACGAGTGCAAATGCTTGCAGAACTCGAGGAACTCATCGTTTATAAGCAAGCAGATGAAAAGAAGCAGGCAACAATGAGACGTACCTGGGAGACCCGACTCAAAGGATGCCAAAGGAATGTCGAGGTTTGGCAGCGCATGCTTAGACTACGTGCGCTTGTCATTACACCGGAAGAAAATATGCACATGTGGATCAAGTTTGCCAACCTTTGTAGGAAATCTGGGCGCATGGGACTTGCCGAAAAGTCTCTAAAACAGCTCATTGGTAGCGATCATGCTCTCGATACCATCATTCCCTACTGGAGCCAAAATGGGCCGCCCCAGACGTCTTCGAATTGGAGGATCCCGCCTCAGGTAGTCTACGCTGTTCTGAAATTCTATTGGGAGTATGGTCAACAAGCAAATATGCGCCAGACTGGGCATGCTGAAAAAACGCTGTTTTGTCTCCGAAAGTTCACCGCCGACACAGTGCAGCGCCTGGAGATGGCGCGAGCCTCCATGCAATCTGTCCCTAATGGTATGGAGGTGATGGGTGACTATAGTTATCATAACGGTGTAGAATCTGGCATGTCTCATCTGAGGTCACAGAAGGAATTCCAGGATCAGACTGTGCTTTTAGCGAAGTGTTTCCTCAGACAAGGAGAGTGGCAGGTCACTTTGAACAAGAGTGATTGGCAACACCCAAGCGTCCAGGACATCCTTGCATCTTACTCTAAAGCTACGCAGTATAACCCCAAGTGGTACAAGGCGTGGCATGCCTGGGCTCTGGCGAATTTCGAAATAGTCCAGACCTTGACTTCTCCGGGCGATAGGAAAGCCCCAAGGCCGGACCCAAATTTGGTAATTAACCATGTAGTTCCGGCTGTCACAGGATTCTTCAAATCAATCGCTCTATCGTCGGGTAGTTCCTTGCAGGACACCCTCCGCCTTCTCACACTCTGGTTTGCGCACGGTGGTAGCAGCGAGGTGACCGGCGCGGTCACCCAGGGCTTCGGTACTGTTAGTGTCGATACGTGGCTCGAGGTCATTCCGCAGTTAATTGCACGCATCAATCAGCCAAATCCACGGGTGCGACAGTCGATCCATAACCTACTCGCTGATGTGGGGCGTAACCATCCCCAGGCGTTGGTGTACCCGCTCACTGTTGCCATGAAATCGACCCAGAACACTAGGAGGTCCAAATCTGCGGCCCTTATTATGGACAGCATGCGGGCCCATAGCGCCAAGCTTGTCGAGCAGGCAGATGTTGTTAGCCATGAGCTCATCCGGGTTGCGGTATTATGGCATGAATTGTGGCATGAAGGTATCGAGGAGGCATCTCGGTTGTGGTTTAGTGACCACAACCCAGAGGGCATGTTCGCTACTCTAAACCCCTTACATGAACAACTTGAAAGAGGTCCCGAGACGCTACGCGAAATCAGTTTTGCGCAAACATTTGGGCGCGATCTCACAGAGGCTCGAGAGTGGTGTCGCCAATATGAACAGAGTCACGATATCAATGATATGAACAGTGCGTGGGATCTGTACTATCAAGTGTTCCGCCGTATAGGCCGACAGCTTCCGCAGGTGACATCACTCGAATTGACCTACTGTTCGCCCAAACTGCTTAGTGCCAGGAACCTGGATCTTGCTGTACCCGGAACGTATCGCAGCGGCGCGCCAGTGGTACGGATCATGTCATTCGAGCAGACATTCAGTGTGATCAATTCGAAGCAGCGTCCTCGAAAGCTTAACACGCAAGGTAGCGATGGCAAGCCATACGCCTTCCTTCTGAAGGGGCATGAAGATATCCGTCAAGATGAGCGTGTGATGCAGCTTTTCGGTTTATGCAACACTTTACTTGCAAATGATTCGGAATGCTACAAGAGACATCTCGGGATCCAGCGGTACCCAGCCATCCCGCTCAGCCAGAACTCCGGTCTCCTTGGGTGGGTGCCAAATAGCGATACTTTGCATGTTCTCATTCGTGAGTACCGTGAGAGCCGCAAGATCCTACTTAACATCGAACATCGCATTATGTTGCAAATGGCCCCGGATTATGACAATCTTACCCTCATGCAAAAGGTTGAGGTGTTTGGCTATGCTTTAGACAACACGACTGGCCAAGATTTATATCGTGTTCTCTGGTTGAAGAGTAAGAGCTCCGAAGCATGGTTAGAACGGCGCACCAATTACACTCGTAGTTTGGGTGTGATGAGCATGGTCGGCTACATCCTTGGTCTAGGTGACCGTCACCCTAGCAATCTCATGCTCGACCGCATCACGGGCAAGATTATTCACATTGACTTCGGCGATTGCTTTGAAGTGGCCATGAAACGGGATAAGTACCCGGAACGAGTGCCATTCCGCCTCACCCGTATGCTCACGTACGCGATGGAGGTCAGCAATATTGAGGGAAGTTTCCGGATTACTTGTGAGCATGTTATGCGAGTCCTTCGCGAAAACAAAGAGAGTGTGATGGCCGTTCTTGAAGCTGTAAGTTCCACGTCTTTCGTCTTGCATTGAATCTTTTCCATCGATACTAATTAAATGATTTCGCTCATAGTTCATCCATGACCCTCTCCTAACTTGGCGTTTGACCAACGCAGCTTCCGCAAATGGCCCTAATTTCCATTCAGAGCGTGAGGCTGCGCTTGAGGCTGGCACACAGCGGACTCGTCGACCCAGCATCTTGGAGGCGGAGCACCCACCGTCAGAACTGCTTGCTGCCCAACTTGCTGTCGACTCGATGCACCAAGGCGGCCCTCCAGCCGTACGTGGCCGTGCGCGCACCAACTCGAGCCTCTTCAATGGCTCGACGCAGCTCGATGGTGACATGGCCGAGATCCAGAACGCACGTGCCATTGAAGTGCTCGATCGGGTCAACCAGAAGCTGACGGGCCGCGATTTCAAACCGAACGAGGAGTTAGAAGTCGTTGCTCAAGTCAACAAACTTGTTTTAGAGGCCACGAAGTTAGAGAACCTCTGCCAGCATTATATCGGTTGGTGTTCTTTCTGGTAGTACTTGCTACTGTTGATACAGTACTGGTCTTATTCGAGGACTTGTTTCATATCATGAATTACGATTATTGAAAGACTCGAAACCCGACACTGCAATTTTTGTCATTAGGAATGTTAGAGACTGCGATTCGAAAGGATGTGCGTTGATTTTGTTATATTGACCTGGCAGAAGGCGTTCATGTAGGGGCCTGGGAGGAGGTATGCGAACCTCGGCATTCGCCTGGCTTTCTAATTGGCTTCCGGACATGCGCTTTTCTTCTTACTATTTTATAATACGGCTGGTCAGGTAATTCTAGAAAGTGGAAGCCTGTTTTACGAAAACTCGAGGTGAGTATTGGCGTGTTTAATGCAAAGGGTAGTCCATTTTAATGGCACAACGATAGAATCTAGAATTGAGATTCGTTCTTGAAGTCCTTGCCGTCGCGATGTGTAACTGCTCCTGGTTCTGTTCATCCTAGTGAAAGCTCGTTGTAGATTTTTCGAGTTCCAAGTTTGTACTTCAGCATCATCTAGCTTATCAGCAACTAATTTCTAGTAAATAGTTCGTCTTTCTGCTGCGGTGCCATGGTTTGTATGTAAGATAAGGTTTCACCGTAATAGGGTAGGTATCTATCCACTTCTGGTTTAGCGTTGTTGCGTGCTTACCTACCGTGTAGTTTCGAGAATTCTGGCGCTTGGCGGAACCACTATTTATTGCTTTAAGCGCCCATGACCTATAGATCCACAGCCTATCAATATAAGGTTTAATACATATTCTCGGGTTTATCATCTAAATGATGCTGTTAAGCGGTAAAAACAACCGCTAAGCTAGGTTACATGATCATTTTCCCCATGATTGGCTAGGCTTTAGGAGGTATGGCTGTGTAAAAAGTGGTTCCGCCAAGCGCTAGAATTCTCAAAACTATGGTATTATTCTAAGCGACTTCCTAGGAAGTCGCTCCTGAGCTACTTAAGTAAGGCACACGTTAGGGGATACGTTTACAGTTAAGAATTCATCCAGCTTAAGTCGCCAACATTGTTCATCGCTGTACTTGGTATACAGACGTTGGAGTTTGATATATCCATATTGCCACTTACTTGAATGTATGTATGTATGTATGTATACGTCAGAGATTGTAGCAAATGCGGCGTGAAAGAGTGCCGTGAGCTATTCAAGTAAATAGGACGCATGCATCTAGATGATAAAGGGGATAAGGAGGACTTCGATATAAGTAGTAAGAGAGATGGCTATAGAACATATATGCACTTCATAATGTATATATATGTATATCTATGTTTCCTTTATTATTGCTATCAAAGCATTATTTTAATACCGTAGTAGATAGGTCATATTATGCTCTTCTCCCATATGTTGAACCCAAGCATGAGGAGGGTATTGATCTTGGATATCACTGCATTAGTTAGCTTCAATGATGACCAAGCTGCTAGTAGTAACCATGGTATATGTCATGGTGAATGCGCGCGCAAATGGAGTATGTGTGACTAGTTCTTTCTCGTGATCACTGCTCGGACAAGCTGAGATACTAATGACAGCAAGATTCACTCAACCGTGAATGAGATGATGTGGTAGTACTGCTTTTACGAAGACAGGCCCCCGTTCATTAGTGGCTGAGACAAATTGTTTACGGAGAGAAGGCCGTGTTTGATTCACGCTGAGAGGATATACGATATACGTACAGTGGTGTGCGATAGAGGATGGAACCTGGGCAGTTACCGAGAAATACATTTATTGGGAATCACACCCTCTTTGACCTCCAGTCTCGGGGGAAGGAGTGGTGACCATGGTGGGCTAAGGCCCTCGGAATACTTCACAGCTCCTCGCAGTGCTTCGCAATATCCGATAATCATTCCGTAAAATATACACTCGTGTCAACTGTGTTGAGGTTTGGTTCTAATAATGCAGTCGTAGCAATAATCCAGTGCAACAGTTCCATGCTTGAGTGTTCGTACGTTGCTTCCTCCCTTGAGTGTCTACTTTCGTAGTAGTTGGTAATTACCGGAGTGATGAAAAATTGAAAAATTTACTCACAGCCTTGTGGGGCTATCCTGTCCGCGGAACGATCCTTCATTACATGATGAAGAGATTTTGCTCTTGGTTGGTTCGGGAAAGACCTAGGGTCCCTATAGGACCTAGAAAGGATGCAACTGCGACTATGATACCGTACTTTGGTTGTGGTGTTGCGAAAGGCAGGTTCTGTGTACTTGGTGAATGGCTTACCAGCAAGGGTCCATATATGTACTTTCTACAATGCTTTATTCCAAAGCATATTCACAGCGATGTCTTTAATGTGCTGCCTATTGATAGACTTTAGGATATATAAACTTTATTACCTTTTCAAACTTAATTAGTTATAGAAATATAAGAATAAACTAATCACTTCAGCCTCCTTGGTTTACTTGATATTTTAAGAAGACACGTCCTACTATATCACCATACTTACTAATATGGTTAGCAATGAAGCATACTTGCTGAATATTCTGTCTTCTCACTCTCTGAACGACGTTTGTACCAACCTCTGCTTGGCACAATGACTGTGAAACGAAGGGTGCATTAGTTGAGCCGAGCCCATGATGACTTTGGTACTGTACCATCACACGTCATGCACATGAGTTACCCACTCGCTGGATTTGAGAGGAACCGAAAAGGTAGATGGCTGGTGGTCTAGAACTGGAAAGATGTGCCCTTCGGCGCCGGCAATGTATTACAACCTTTCCAGCTTGGGGTCCATGCATATTTGTTTGCTGAGATCCGTCCACACTGCAGCCTGCCATGGAGTATCTTTGCCATCTCACTCGCTTCTCTGTATGTGAGACGGAATGCAACTTATGTTTCCAACATCCGATATGCATGTCTGGGCGGTAGGTCACAAATACAGAGCGATATGTGTATGGTATACCTATGTGTGCTAATCACGCCCAATTGGTTTTTTGACAAGTCAGATAAGCTGGAGGCATGGAGAATTAGAACAGTAAAGGACGTGTCAAACTGAAAATGCATAGATGCATACACAAAGCTAAATATCAACTGGCAATGAGATTCTAGAGGGCTTGTGGACTTAGCATATGCAAGGGGCATACAGCTGCATCATCTCTACTTCCACAACTTCGGGTGAGCTCCGCTAGGGTCGAGAGGCTTACTTTGCATGATGTCGATCGCTGTAAGCAACGAGAATGGGTGAAACACAAGATCCGGCTTCTAAGCACCCAACCCTAGGATGGTCTGGTTGGCTGCATGGTCATATATTCTGGCCCTTTGCAAACTGAACCCATATCTTGCATTATAACACCAAGCTATGAATGAAACCATCTCCTCCGGCCGTAGGACAGTTGGAACGAACTGGCAATAGTACATTCGGTGTGATTGCAAATAAGGCTGATAAAGGCACACCTAGTAAAGAAAGCCGGGTTCTTGCTAGCGCGTATGGGCGTGTTAAGAGAGTCTATCTGGTCTGTGTTATGCGATGAAACAGGTTGACTCGGGTGATAGGCTGTTACGACCGATGGGTGTCTGTCGATTTACATTTTCCACGAATAACGCATGATGAGCTCTAGAATGGCGAAGGGGCTTTAGTCATACTTGAAATGGTAGGCCGCATGCTACTACTCGTTGCCAGCGTCATTGTATCGTCATTCTACCAGCTTCAGCGTCGGTCGCGATTTGTAGTCCTGTCTTGAATCTTATGGCAGGTCGCTTCTTACTGTTGGACTCCAAAAGGCGCAACTCCCGGTTGATCTCTACTACCAGTATCATTGACCAGTGCCATTCGATTTTGTTGTACGAATGTAATTTTGAATATTTATTGGAAGAGGGGTTAAGCCCTAGCCTTTAATGACAGAACGTATGATCCATCCAATGGCGTGATGCTTTAAGTATTCGGAAAATAGCGGTGTATGTATTTTTTTCACAGACTTCTAAGCAAATAGCTAACAGAATACTACTGAATGTAATGAGTAGATTTAAGGGGCTGTGTGAACGAGCTACTTATCCATATATGTTGAGTGAAGGTGACATATCAGATTCCAGAGCAAAATCATACCACAGTACCTAGGATAAACACAGGGGTCTTAATGCATAAATGACCAATAAGAAATGAAATATAAAAAGCAAATATAAGAAAGGACTAATATTATAAAATAATTAAAACTTATATATATATGGGCTACTACGTATATGGGTCACTACATTCATATAGGTATACCTGTTGCTTGGACAGCGTAGTAGATGTGGATAGATGGGACAGAAGAGGGCGGTTCCAATGTGTTGGATCATTGCGGGTCGAACCAACCCCTTTTCCTGTTGGTGCATTGCATATATTGAGATAGCCCCCCTGGTCGATAACTACCCAATGCGGACCAAACTGCTTACCTACCCTGGTGCCAAATTTGTATCTGTACCCAGCAAGCTAACAACGTCCAGAGGCTTGAAATAATAGCCTTTAACCTAGTCATTTAGTATCGACCTAGGTAGCAATGTGCTCAAGACTTTGTGTATCTGGGTTGGTCCTTAATCTATACATTCCCTCGAGCATCTAAGACTACAGCGGACTCTATTCAGGTATGCCGAATGCTGGTTTGATGATAATGTAGATAGGTGATTAGCTATATAGTATCTAGTGTACAGCATTCACGATATTACATGGAGTTTGCCGGCGTGATAAAGGAGAGCCCCATAATTTCTATCACATGCAATTAAGTTAATGGGCCAACCAACATACTATACCCCGTCCCCATGCACCTCAGGCTATTAGGTAGTCTACAAGGACTAGTTAAAATCCCTCTCATGGGATCTCAAATATATTGCTTCCATTCGAATGGTGGCAGCTTCTTTCTCTATTATCCATCCACGATAGTTAATATCTAACTTCTATGTTCAGCGAGCGTGGCCTGCATCTCGACACTCATCATACCCAACGTACTACTGAAGTACATATCTTGACGTTTACACTGTCATCCACTCAACACTAGCAATAAATACCTAATTAGGCATAAAAGCTATAGCAGGGCTATCCAATTGTATGTTGGTCACTTCTTCCTACCTCCAACCCCATACATTCTGTTATTGAATCTTGCACTTAACTGAACAGTATAACTTGGTAAGTGCTACAATCTATCTGTACCCCATACTTGAGTTGGTACTTATCTGGTACCTGCCTAAGTCCCTACCACACACTACCTGTCATCATTGCACCTACCAGGTAGTACTTGACGTACTTGCCTGTTTTAATCTGGAGGTGTTAGCAATACCAGGCAGAAGGCAGGCACATCAGAAAGAGTGGAAGGTAGTAATTACCTCGTTGCCAACCCTCGCCGCCAACCCTCGCCACCTAAGTACATTCCTCCATACTTCCTTCAACCCTCTATCCCTGCTTCATCCCATCTCACCTTCAGGATCTTTATGTCCTGTCCTCATAGCTCTCGGTGTTTTCTGGGAACTTTTCCACGGCACTGAACACACGCAAACGCCCTTCAAGTATTCGCCGCACTGGCGGGAACATAGCTGTTCTACCCTGCTTGACTGCGAATGGTAGAGAACTTGTCTCCATGCCGTTTCTTATATCTTGACCCAAGTCCAGAATGAGTACCGGTATGCATCACAAGCTTGCCGACTGATACAACCTATCACCTCTATCCGCACAGTGTTAGGGCCAAGCAGAAGACACCATGGATTCCCTACAGCTCAAGAGCTTTAATAAATGGTGGAATAATCGAATGATCATGATGGAAGACCAACATGGCGAGGAGATTACGAGCTGTGATAGTGAGGCCAACGAGCAGAAGAAACAAACCCACGATAGTGCCCAAGTTCAAATAGGCGATTTACGCAACAGCACGCGCGATCCTACCGATCTCTACAACCAGATCCGGCAGATAAAAGAGCAACGCGGCGCTGCGTTAAGAAGTATCGACGATTATTATGCTGAACGTATGAACATAATTAAAGAAAGCCAATCGAAAGAGCACGAGCATCACAGGAAGGCATATGCACAAGCCCTTGCTGACAGATCATCACTTATCGACAGTACTTCACCTGTTCAATCGTCCGTAGTCACACCTGCGAATACCGTGGACACTACAGTCATCGGGGAAACGGACGGTAATTTACCAACGCCAATCTCTGGAGACGCGATTTCGACAGTACAAACGCCAAAAGTGCAATCTGTCAGTGCCTCTGACAACCGGATGTCTCCTATTCAAGATATGGTTCCCACGCCTGTGGCCTCCCGGGAATCAAGTCAATCAGCACCGCCTGATAAAGGCTTCTCTGCTACCGTCCAACGTGAGTTTACTGCCGAAGGAAGGGAGCAGCACATCTTTCGGTTTAAGACTAAGAATCGCAAAGCGTTACAAGGAGCCATTAAAGCGAAGCAATCAACCTCCGAACCTAACGCAATGGAGTCGATACAAACACCTGTCTCCACGAACTTGACTACCACCAACGAGACTGCCCCTGTGAGAACCATTACCTTTGACGAGGTATATCAAAATGGGCAAGCTAAGCAGTATGTTTTAATTCTTTCCTTTTTTCGTTAGATTTCCGGGTCCTATTGCACCTAAAGTGCTTAACACATCTAACCTGTGTATCTTTTAGTAAGGATACTATTGTAGAGTTTCCACCTGGTAGGAACCAGTGGTACATTCTTAAATGTGAAGAACATTCCGTAAGGTTCAGCAACAAGTTGCCTATAGCCGGAGCTGCGAAGCATTTAAGCGGTCGCTTGCACGGAGGTTTAGAGAGGAGTTATGTTCTGGCTATCAAGACTCTTGGTTATAGAGTGGTTGATTGCAATGAGCAGCTAGCCAGGCAAAATAATGAAGTTGTGAACGAGGCTTTCAGAAATGGCTATAAACCAATAAGCCTCATCAATCCTGTCAGTCAACTCCCACCATAGCTTCCACATGATGCGGGAATTAACATTATCAAAGGAAAACAAAAAATCACGAACAAGAAAAAGCACAGAGGGTGCTGGGAAAACACCACAGAAAAAGTCGGATAATCCCAATCGCGAGAGAGAGACTAATACCATACCCCAAGGGGCGAGTCCACTAAAAGCACGCAAAAATGCCTTGAAGACCTCAGAAGAGATCATTACGAACCCGAAGCCTTTTCATGTCTATAATTGCTTCTGGAGGCCAGAGCGATGCCTCTACCCTGTCATGATTCTGGGGTGGAACGACCAGACACCGGGAGGGCTCGAATATAACCTCGCCGGCACTGGACTCCTGGACAGGAAGAAGTCTAACGTACCAGGGTGTTACGTTTATAAAGACGTTGACAGCACCACAAATGGTGCCATTATTGGCTGGTCTCAAGGATTCGAAGATGGTGGGCCGAACATTAAACGAAGAAAGTTCCCTGTCATGTTTTTGTATGTTTTAAGCATAACACATCCATACCCCCTCTTCTTTTTCCAAGGCATAGTCCTCCTGGAATTCAATTCGTCACCTTCCACGTTCGCAGCCTCCTATCGATACAATATACTGATTGAGATTTGTGTTCTCTCATAGTGATAATAAGTCGAACGTTAGCTGGGTTGCTGCGAAAGATTTAAGCAAATTTCCGCTCTATCAACAAGACCAGCCCAAGAGGGAAAACGAATATTATAAGGCTGCGCGTAGTTACATTGCTAAAAGGGATGGGTATGGTTCTTGGGAAGCTTTCGAAGCAGCTCAAAAGGCAAATGCTGGAGGTAGGCTAGGATTCCTCAACAGACGGGTCTTGATAACTAAATACCCATATAGGAGTAAAATTTGACGCTGTTACGACGCCAATAGTTTCGCCGCTCACGGATGTTGACGATTCTAACGATGATTCGGATACCGATGAGTCTATGCAGTCCTCGATCTCGAATGTTACCGAAAAAGAGCTACGGGAAATGCAGGAAACTGCTGGTGAAATAGATGGTGATGATGATTACTCGGGTTCAGATGCGGGCAGTACATTGAGCAACGAGAATGAATGGGAACAGCCCGAAGCCGACGGAAGGCCATGGGCATTCTACCACCTACGGAAATCAGATCATGCATCGGGCAATACCAATGCCCAGCTATCAACCCATGAGAATCATAAGTTGGTCTACAATCAAGGAAATGGTTCCTCAGGAGAAGGCGCCCCCACTCTTGAACCAACATTTCAAGACATATATATTGAAGGAGTTATGGAGACAGAGCGCGACGCAAAGACTTCGAGAAGCACACCGCCGCCAGACCTAAATATCATGTCGATAGTCAGCCAGGCTGCTTCCAAGGAAGCAGCCTGCACTTCTCAAGCTGATGATATCAATTCCAAGAAGAATAGCTCTGAACCTATTGCACGCTCCGAGACGTGCTTCAAAAGTGCACCGTCACCTTCGGTATCGCCGGAGCTAATAGTAATAGGAGAACGGCCGAAGCGGGCGAGATCCGAGGAGATGAGCGGCATTGGTATCACCACGGCTGGACCAGACAACGTAAAAAAGGCTAGGATGGAAACGGAACCCCCAAACAATCAGGCGAGGACGTCAGCAGTGCAACAACCAATATCTAAACCGTCTGCTCCCACTGTACATCCTACCTTGCTCTGCATATTTGAGATTTCCTCGTACCGCAAAGGGCCAATCTCATGGGTGAGTGGAGGGCCTTGCCTGGAACTTCATTTCCAAGAAGACAAAAAAAGAGTCGCCACGGTGAATGCTCACCTGGAGATTGTCATCGACCCGACAACCTTACGAGGCTTTGCTAAAGAGGAAATCCCTGGGTCTAAGGGCAACAGCCTCTTAACGGTATTTCCTTCAGATGTAACTGATGACCCGGTTACAGTTGTCTTCAACCGCGCAGAGGGAAGCAGGAAAGAGATTGGTAAAACCCAAGTGAGGAGGTTCACATTCTGGCTTCGAGACGTAGTTCCTTCCCTACCTACCCTCAACTGCAACGTGCCCAATAAGTAGGTATGTCTAGAGCTAGGCGAGCCCCTCGTGGGGCTTTTGTTATTGGGCAAGTATGGTGGGCGAAATCAAAAGGCGTCTAGGAGTATGAAGCGAGGGGATATCTGCGTGCCATTGTAAGGCGCTTATTTTCATGGGTTGTATTAGGAAGTGACTTGATGGTTAGGGAATGCATATGGGTCTGTGGTTGGAGGCATGGGTGATTTATCGAGGCTTGTGCCGTCAATGGAAAAGCCAAATTGTAATCAATGGCATTAGAAGTAAGGCGATTCAGTCACTAGCAAGTGAACATGCAGTGTGTTTATTGACAAGCATCGCATTGTGTTCATGAAGCGAGGGAGGCCGACTTAGATGTAGTAGGCTGTAGTAGGAAGACTCAGCTCGGGATTTACCACACGTAGCAAGCAAGCAAGCAAGCAAGCCGTTAGGTCAAGAACTGTATCTATCTACTTATGATAGAGTGCCTATATAGCTATGTAGGCACATTATCTGATTTATGAATTGGGCTACCGGTAGTTACTTGAAGCAGGTAAGAAAAGATGGACAAAACTCCAAGGACGCGGATGGGGTGATGGCATGTGAAAGTGCCAAGCCCGTCCAGCACGCAGCCAGTGCCGACGATATGGGGCACACTCTCACTCTCACCCCGCAATTGTAGGAAGGTATCTATCATTGTCAGCCTGCCTCTTAGCACTTACATTCTTCTTTTCCTCCATAATGAAGGTCAGCCTTCTTCCGTGGATCTCCATCAAACCCGCGACTGCCTTGAGATTCTCTCTTTCTTCTCCTCTTTTAGTTCTTACAACATCAACTTTGGACATATATACTATATATACTGTATATATCTGCAGTATCGTATACGGATTCTCTCTGCCAAGGTGCCTGATATAATTGGGCGATAATGAGCTGTCCCATCCCAGCAGCAGCGTCTTAGCGACCTATCTTGTTCAAGGTATTTGCATGATGATGCCTGTATAATGCTGCTTCGGTTGCCTAATCCATTCCATTCGCTTTGTAGTGTACAGCAGCAGACCACGCCATCCACCTATATACCATATTGTATGAATCCCTACCATATAGGATTCTCTACCTATTCTATATGTGTACATCCATAGGTCTGCATAGATACCGTACCTACCTAGGTTAGGTAGCTGCCTGGAATGCTGCTATTTTGGTGCCTGCTCTGCAACCATCCCCAGCTCTCCCAACTCCCCTTTGCGCTCGACTTGTCCTGTTCACTTGTGGTGTGCTTGATGCCTTGATGCTTTGATGGCTGCTCTTGTAAGTCAACTCGACGGGACCACACGGAGACGTTGTGGTTTCTTTCCTTGCTTCTCTTTAATTCCAGGCTCCCTTGCCATATCTTGTTCTCTTGTTATGCCGTTCATTCCTACTCCAATCAACTCCAGTCAATTCCGATCAATTAAAACCCCCACACCCCTGCCACTTATGTACCTCCACCGAGTCCGTGGGCAGAGCGCGCGCGCTGGTTAGCTAGATTAGTATCTTAGCAGTGTACGCGGCAGTGCAGCGCAGTGCAGCGACGGGCGATGAGCGACGTCAGCGACAGAACCAGCCATCGTCATCGTTAGGTACTTGCACCAGACCACCACAACAACACCACCATCATTCTCATCACCACCACCATCACCACTGTACTACAGCTGCGAACACTTAGCAGCCCTCCGTTACCAACTCACCCTGCCATCCCATCGGGTTCCATAGGCTGACATGCAACCTCTTCTTGCTGCGCACCGTAGGACATACCCTGGATGACGCACATGTCGACTCCCAGGTCTACTACGCCTCGCGCCGACATCGACGTCGACAGTGTCGCCAATCCCTCCGGCCCTGCCACTCCCGCCGCCGCTTCTTCCACCTCGGCTCCCAGCTTCAATTCGCCGTCGTACGCTCCCCCGACTTATGCCTCCTTTTCGCCCACGAACCTATCCTCTACCGCCGCCGCCGCCAAGCGCACTTCTACCATCCTCGTCCACCAGAAGTCCCCCCTACTCCTCGCCACACCTCCCCAGATCACTCGAGCCCTCGCCTATAGCCACCCTTTCCTGCTTCCCTTGAATAAGCTCGCCGGCCTTCTGACATGGACCACCGGCGACCCCTGGGAGAGCTTCCTGTTGCTCGTTGTCTACTGGGTCGTCGTCCAGTACGGCGACAATATCGTGCGGTTCGCCGGCCCAATTGTTACCGTCTTCGGCATCATTGCTGGCATGTATGCCCGCCGCTATAGTCCCCTCTCAAGTAGCGGTTGGGCCGAGCATCCCAGCCTGGCTAATAGCAAAGACAAGAAAAAGGGGAACAATGCCTCCTCCAGCGGCAGTCAACCCGGCCAAGGGCATCAGCGAAATGCTAGTGAAGTGACCACTACGCGCCACCAGAAAACTCTCGACGAGATTGTCGATACTTTAAGAGTCTTCACATCTCGATGCAACATTTTACTCGAGCCGCTGCTTGAGATGACGGATTTCTTGTCCACTCAACGAACCGCCACCAGTGCAACCACTCGGCCAGCGCTTACTACTTTGTTCGTACGCATCCTTGCTGTCACTCCGATCTGGATTCTTTTGACCCTGCCGCCCCTTCGTATCATCACAACGAAGAGAGTTGTCTTTGTATTTGGTACTTTAGTGTTAAGCTGGCATTCCAAAGTCTGCAGGGTGACACGGACATTATTATGGAGGAGCGCAACAATACGGAAAGTGGCCCAATGGATAACTGGCCTAGAATTCGAAAGGCCTGTGAGACTGGAACAGAAAGAAAACCTCAATGGCCATGCCGTTGATGGCAAAACCAAGCCGAAGCGAGCGCATGAGGCGGCCAAGATCTCCTCCTCGGCCTTGACCGAAGCTCTTAAACGTAGCCGGTTGGGGGCTAAGGACAAGGATTCCGGCGTGCGTTTCACTTTCATACTTTATGAGAATCAGAGGCGATGGCTCGGCTTAGGATGGACGAATAGCTTGTTTGCTTACGAGCGAGCAGCCTGGACCGACGAGCAGAACAACCCAGTCCCACCCAAGGACGAGTTCGAGCTGCCGGAGGTTGAGGACGGTCGTGCCAAATGGAGGTGGGTGGAAGGTACTAAGTGGCGTGTCGACGGCGTGCCAGATTTAGATGAGGGAGACTATGATGGCGAAGGCGGGCGGATGGGCTGGATCTTTTACGATAATAAGGTACGTTGCGACATGAATTTTACTTAGACATCCCTTATGCTCTCTAACATCTTCTGTATAGTGGCAGAATGGTCGCCGGGGGGTTGATGGCTGGGGCCGCTGGACGAGAAGACGGAAGTGGTACCGCGATGCAGAATTAGTCGAGGTTTCCGAAGATGAATTACCTTCACCTTCGCCGCCGCCACCAGCTCTACCAGCACGCCCACAACCCACGATCTCTTCCGTCCCCGATACTACCGACGCGAGCGCAGCATTATCAGTGTCCCCTCCCGAGGCCACAAACTCGGAGGATAAATCCAAAGGCGAGGACGACGCTGCTTCCCTCCTCAGCACGTCCTCCAAGTCGGCGAGATTCCGGTTTTCTACGCCTTCCCTTCGTCGCCGTACGACAAGTGGCACTCAGCACTCTAGGAGAACAAGCGAGGTCGCTAGTGTGCGGTCGAACGAGGATGATAGTACGCTGGATCCAGCGTTGGAACTTGAGATTCACGGTCACCAGAGAGATCTGGGGCAGTGGGGAATTGGCGACGACGCACAGATGGGTCTTGAATAAAGCGGTAAACGGCAATTAGTGGTAAGGTTTTTGTTAAAAGAGAAAAAAAAAACATTCATTGTGGATGGGGCTCTTATTTTGTTACTGGGGGAGGCGTGACTGGCGTCTTGGTAGATACCATTTTCAATTGGTTGCTTGCTCACTTATTTACATTTTTCTACCTTTTCTTCAACAGCCGCTATTACCTTCTTGTAAAGTTGGTTGTATGTGAAGAATCACCCGGCCGCCTTCCCCGGCCTCGTCGGTATTATATATGAATATGCAGCTTATGGAAAATTCAACGCTCGAGCAGATCTTCTAAGGTGCGCATGGTCCCATCTTTCTCTGGCCTGTGAATCATCTCTATAGCCGTATTTCTTTTTTTTGCTATTCTGGGCCGGATATAAGGTACCTGGCTACTCTTCCTGCCCAGCATGCGCAGCTTCTTACTTCCCTGTTCTTTTGCTTTCTTCTTTGCGTTTACACTGTCGCATGGCTGTCTTCTCCCGGAGGCTTGGGGACAGCAGCAGCGCTGATGGGCTCGCTGCATCCTTCTCCGTCGTTGTCGTGTGTGGAGAGGTGTCGTTGGCTGCTGTTGAATAGGGTGCCCATGTCTTCGAGGGATACGCCTTTGGTCTCGGGGTAGAAGAGGAGGATTATCTAGTTTATTGACGTAGATTAATATAGGGATTTATGTCTTACAGGGTATACTTTCATCTTTTCTTCCCCTTTTCTTTCTTTCCTATGCTGAGTGTTGTAGGAAGGGGATGAGAGATGGTTCATGAGAGAGGGGAGAGAAATCGTTGTTGTGTAAGCGAGGAGTGAGAAGGGGTAGTCGAAGAGAATGATATAAGACACGTACTGGAATGCAGGCAAAGTTGATGGCCATGAAGAAGAAATATATCTTCGAACCGATCGTCTCGATGCCCACGGGCCAGACCTGCGCTGCCACGATGGACCCGATCGAGGTACCCGATGCCGAGAAATTGAGACCTCGCGCGCGGACTGCTGTCGGGAAGATCTGAGTGTTGAAGTTATTTAGCTTTTTTTCATTTTTTATTTTTCAAACTTTTTTTAATTCATATTTATTTTTGGATGTTATCGCTTGAAAAAATACGCATGATTATTGGGGGTTAGAGCTGGAAGAGACTGTATATATGTTACCTCTGATCCGTATACCCATGCTGCGGGCCCGAAGCCCATGCTATACCCCAACGCGTACACGAAGATGAATACCACGCAGACGATGTCAGCGGCGCGATTCGTATTTGAGGGGTACACTTGGCCGAGGACGCCGTTGATCTTTCATGTTTTGAACGAGTCGTTAGCGGAAGCGGTACGAGTGATTTAGATTGCGAGGGCATGCATACCAGTAGTGCGAACCCCATGGCGAGCGTCCCCGAGACCAGCGTGACTCGCCGCCCGAGACGATCAATGAGCAGCATTTCGATGATCGTCATGCCGATTTTCAGGGTAGACTATAGTTACAGCATCAGAAAGGACAATTTCCCATCACGTGTGAGGTAATACAGTCAGAGAACCCCTGATCTTTTGCGTGAGAGAATCTGCGTTGGGGAAGATCATAGGTAAATCATGCTGTTGTTGGGAACTGAACTAACCTCAATTCCACCCGCCATCAGAGCTACGCGCGTAGATAGCCCAAGTTTCTCGAGAAGCGTGGGAAGATAGTATTTCATCGCCGCGGCACCACACTATGTGAACTCAAACTATCAGCACCTAGGGGTCAATAATTCCACGTTGTTCTTTTATAGAGAACACGAACGCCTCGATTCGGGCTCACAATGCGAACTCACCATCTGTGCCATGAACTGCAGCAGAGAAGCCCTCCAAAGCCGACTAAACAGATTCGGATCCCTGAAGAGCATAGTCCAGCTCGTGTAGCCCTTGTACTCTTCCACGTCATCCCGTATACGCGCGAGCTCGGCGTGGATCTGCTCGTTCGTGAAGCTCCCCTCGCGCAACCAGTGAAGGGATCTCAGGGCCCTATCATAATACCCGTGTTCTACGAGCCATCTAGGCCTTATGCCGCCGAAAATGAAATAGTTAGTGAGTCTGGATGAAAAGAATCCCGAAGAAGGGTGACTGGGAAAAGAAAAATAACGATCATGACTTACGTCTCAGGAAGAAAAGGCAGGCCGACGCCGAAGATCAAACTTGGGACGAGGTTTATGGCGAGCGAAAAGCGCCAGGAGACATACTGTCCGTAGGCAGAGTCGCTCCAGAAGGTCACGCCGTATCCGACCCTGGCGGTAGATGGTCAATTAGTGGGCTGTCGAGTTGGGCGATGGGATGTATTTTGCCTACCAGAAGCCGGATGCTAAGCCAACCACGAATCCGACATGATTTAAAACGACGTATTTTCCTCGCTTGCCGGCAGGGGCTACTTCACTATAGGGAGTTCATTGTTAGCGAAAATACGGAGTGTAATTTTCCTGTGCTGAAAAGTTTGATGTCATTTGCTCTGGGGTTGTAGTATCACATGTGAGTAGTAAGGATTGCGAAACGAATGAAGCTCTCCTGTCGCGGCCCCTTTCTTAATCCTGCAGAAATGAAGAAGAAACGGGATGAAGCTTTATAAAGAGGAGTTTTACCTCTGGTATAACGGTACCGAAGTAGAAATCATTCCGATACCGAGACCCGAAATGACACGTCCCACGATCATCATCGAGTATGCTCCCGGGCCGCTAGCACCAGCCTCGATTGCCGTCGCTATAGCCACAACGACGATGCCGGTTAATGCCGCGTATCGACGTCCTAACCGGTCGCTTACCGGGTGAGATACGAATATGTAGCTCACCCAGGTGCCTAGATAGTATATAGCGGTTATAACACCCTTTTCGGACGCCGTCGGATAACCCATAGCACGTCTAAAACCTGGATGCACAAGGACTGATGACAGTATACCAATATGATATCTAGAGTGTATAAGATGAAGTCAGTGACGTGACGTTAGATATTATAAGAAAGTCTACGCTTGCTCCGTGGGGTGTTAGGGATGGCAGAAGAGGCGCTGTTGAAGAGTTGCTCCTTTCCATATTTAGGTTCGATAATTTCACTATCTTCTTATAGCCTCAATATATCGCTGCTTGAAGGATTTTATGTGTGCAAGATGACTAAACGTGAATGATAAACTCACCCCCAAACGAAAGACCCGATAGCAAAGAAGATGCATAGAAGGTGCAGTCTCAAGACTGCTTTACTCAGCGTCTTCATCTCAAAGGTTTGTAGGCTAGTATGTGTAAGAATTTATGAAATGAAAGCCGAACACCCATGAAGTGTCAAATTAGGACAATTATCGCAAGCACATGGGAAGTTATGAAAACTTTCGAGTTTCTCGTCAACCCCCAGTGTTGGGGTTGCCAAGCTGATATAACAAATAGACCGAAGTGATCTCCCTCGTGTAATATCACCGCGAGGTCACTTGTCCCGCCTCATCATCGACCCCAACATCCTAATCAAGTCCCATCGTACCACCCCCCGCATGCAACAGCACGATGATTGCGTTGGTGCTTGCTGTGATGGGAACGATTCATCTCCAACAGCCGTCTGACGCCGAAGAAACCCATTGTAAACTTCTTTCTACTCCCTCCACATAAAATCTTATGAACAGGGGTTACTGGCATATATGAGTGCGTATGTCTGGAGAGTGAGTTGATTGGGTGTGAAGATGGAGATCCCTGAGTATAAGAGCGAAACTGCTCGCTGTTTACCGGTTAAATGCATGGCAGCCAATATAGCTCTATTCGCCCGTGCCTATGGTATATGTGCTTCCATTGGATGTCCTCGGGATGAAGCTGCAATCTATTCTGCGGAGAATGGGTAATCGGAAGATGTAATTCGACATCATATAGACAAGTGTGGCAACGACGGAACATACAAAATCATATACTCAATAGAAGGGGCATTTGGGGGATGCTCTTGTACTATGTATTGGCCACTGCTTTCAGACCAACTTAGATTTGCACGATACACTGAAGGGTTGGCAACGAAGCTAATAGACTGGTTCTCTTGTACGAGAACGTTATGAGCTGAGACAATTGGACCGCTAGGTGATTGAGTGCTAAAAGGAACCAGAACTGTGTCGATGAAGTTTACCATTATAGAGTCTCACTATGACTCGACATACAGCTGCGACAGAAAACACAGCGTCTTCGTCAAATGGTAAGCGAAGCTCAAGTGCAGGTGTATCATGTTGGGCGGTAGCGATGACAACAATATGAGAACTAACGAGATACTCATGCTCTTAAGATATCATGACGCCGGTTCCCAACATACCACCCACAGCGGATACAGCGTGGGAAGGGTCCCGACCTGTGGAAGCCGACAATGCGATCAAGACGCCTTCCGAAGTTCGCTGGAGAGATCTACCTAATAAAGACCAGCTCTTCATACTAGCCCTCTGTCGACTATCCGAACCCTTATCCAACGTCTGCCTCCTTCCCTACATTTTCTACCTCGTCCGCTCCGTGCTGCCCACCTCGGAAGACGAAACTTCGACCGAAAACCCAGCCGCCCGCATATCCGAGTACTCAGGGGTTCTCGTGGCAGCGTTTCCGCTGGCGCAGTGCATTATTAGTCTCCCATGGGGTCGCTTGTCCGACAAGCACGGGAGGAGATACTCCATCCTAGGAGGGCTCTTCATCTCCGTGATCGCGAACATCGGGTTCGGGCTATCCAGATCTTTCGGTGCGCTGTTGTTCTGGCGGATACTCGCGGGTCTCGCCAATGGCAATGTGAGCATCATGCGGACGGTGACGGCCGAGGTCGTCAGGGAGCGGAAATACCAAACCAAGGCGTTCCTCCTGCTCCCGCTCGTGTTCAATTCAGGGATGGTGTTGAGTCTGGCCTTGGGCGGCTGTCTCGCGGAGCCCGTAGTGAATCTGCCGGCATTGTTTGGCCCCGAAGGTATCTTCAACGCAAGTGGCAACCCTGGTGGCGTAATATGGGCCCTGGAGTACCCGTACGCGCTACCGGCACTATTGAACGCATTCTTTTTGTGCACGGCGCTTCTTCTCGCTATCCTGGGCCTGAAAGAGACCCTTCCCGGAAAAGAAGAACATAATGACTGGGGTCTTCGGGTCGGATCTGTAATTGGACGATTTGTGACGCGTTTATGGAATAGGGGTCTGGACTATCATCAATATGATATGATGCAAGATACGGAGGATGGTATGTTCTTGAACGAAAACCAGCCTAAATCCGAAAAGATAGAGTCGTCAGTCGCTATAACCGATCCTGTGAAGATGCCTTTTCGCAATATCTGGACACGAAAGGTCATCTCGGCGCTTGTATCATTTGGCCTCTTGCCACTGCACAACTCAGCATTCATGCATATATTCCCAGTATACCTGAGCAGTCCCCCGGCAGATAACACCGAGGCCACAATCTTCGCATTCTCCGGCGGTCTCGGGCTGCGATCTGCGACCATCGGAGTATGGCTCGCTGCCTTCGGCATAGGCGGCATCCTTCTACAGCTCTTCATCTACCCACGTCTTCAGAAGCGCATCGGTACTAAGGGGGTGTTCCGCATCGCGCTGTTCCTTTTCCCGGTGACTTACCTCGCAGCACCCTATCTTTCGCTTCTGGCTGGGGATCACGCGGCGAGGTGGGTGTTCCTGGGGTTCATTGTCTGCGCGCAGATCATGGCTCGCACGATGGCTATTCCTAGCACGGTGATCTTGCTTACTGAGGCTGCTCCGGCTCGGACGGTGCTGGGAACTATTCATGGGGCGGGAAATATGCTGGCTAGTCTTGCCCGCGCAGTTGGGCCGGCTGTTGGAGGGTATGTGTTTGCCCTTGGGGTAGAAGAGGGGGTGATTGGGCTTGTATGGTGGTTGTTTTTGGTCGGCGTTTCCCTGTGTGCCTTGGTATGGTCGTACGTCGCAGAGAACAATAAGGCTTAAGCCGTCTGCGAAATTGAGTGTCGTGAAATGGTGTCACCTATTAGAAAGTAGAGCTTAGAAAGAAAGTGAATTCGAAATATAGTTTGTACATTGAACTCGAAGCCAACACCAGTACCCAACATAGTAAACTCTTATTAGGATAGACTATAGTTTCCAGGCGTGTTAAGCACAGTACGACATTTGATAACCGTTATACCAGCCTGAGTAAGGATTATTTGGTGATGGGTTTAGTCTGAATAACTATAGTGCATTGTATTCATCGCCGAGATGGCTAACTGTTATAACATATCTAAGAGATGAGTAGTTCTACCCAGATAGATCAAATTGGTATATGCTCTGGTGACATCCACTCTTGTTGGTTGTTTTCACCTGCTTAGGTGAAGAGCTCAACGCAGTCAAAGATCTAAGTTTGAGTCGAGTTAGCAAGACAGTCTTCATATTTTCTGAATGAATGCTTTATACTACTTACAAGGTTCGGATTGAGGAAGGGGCTGGTACTACTGCTTCCAGAGATAGAACTGATAGTAATGGTATTGGAGCCAGTCACCAGAGTTCCCGAGGGAATATTAACATCATACACCTCGCCATACCCGCGGTAGGCGCCACGTGTAACCCCACGACTATCAATCTTAGTAGGTGCTGCGGGACTAGGGCCAGTCCAGGAATTTACTTTCGCCTGTGGCCGAGAGCCGGAGAAGGACAAGGTAGTGGCGATGCACAGTGTTGCCGCACCAGGGGCAGATGCGAGGTTGAACTTGATAGTTACAGGGTTATTCACGTTCTGGAAGAGGGCCATTGGGAACTGCTCAACCGACGAGGAACCGACGGTGTACGTGACGGGTTTCCAGGAAGTCATCCGGCTGTCAGACGGATGCATCCTCAAAAACTTGTCGGCGTTGAGGAACCCCGTCGGCTGCCCGTCGTACTCGCCAATCTTCCACAGCGAGTTGCGACTCGTCATCGTACTAGCGATGTTCTTCGATGTCGTTCCACCCGCGCTAACGCTCACGCCTGTCGTAGTTGCGACCTTGTATTCGCCTTGGTAGAGAACCATCGTGTAAGATCCGGCTTTCATTGCCGGGGACTTGAAAGCGCCGTTCGAAGACGCGATTGTCCAGTACTGTGCCGCTGAGTTGTACCAGTGCACGACGGCTTGAAGATTACTAGGAACACCCGAGACAGTTCCCGATACATAACCACGCGACGAATTCGGCACGAAACCCTTGACGTCGAGTTCGGAGAAGAAAGAGATGTCGACGTTCTTGATCGAGGGGACACCGGACCTTGAGAAAACCATCATGTAAGGCCCATGCAGGATATTATTCGTCCGCCATTCCTCGGTCTTGACGTGGCCACTGTTCATATACCAGTAGAGATTTGTGTCGTCGCCGCCATTGTTGGTCTCGATATCGCGGAAGAATGGACCGCCAGATGAAGACTCAGGTTGCGGGGTAAGCATACAAACATGGATCTCGTCTGAGCCGCCGTACACGCACTGCGCATCCTTGTCGATGAACCTAGTACTTGAGTAGAACTTCGAGCGTGTCTGACCGTTGACAAGAAAGACGTCAGAGCCTTCGACGGTAGAGCTTGAGCCTGCAGTTGTTGACACGGCACCGTACGGATACTCGTTAGGCAATCTTGATGATTGTAAACGAGCAATAAATCGTAGCTCGCCTATGCTTGGTTCCGCCGTGATATAAGTAGCCATGTAGATGGTGGAATCACCGCTCTTCGCCACCAGGTAATGGGTGAGGGTCGAAGTTGCGCATGTCACCTTGACATACTCTATACGCGCAGGCGGTTATTTCATTCCTTTGGGCATGAACAAAGAGTGGGATAAGGATCCTCAACACTCACTTCCGTTGACTTGTGTCGCGCTGACAGTTGCGGTACCGAGCCCAGAAGAAATATGAGAGCCTTTGCTCCGACCCTGGAGCTCCACGTTGCGGTACTTGATTGACGTGATATCGCAACTGGTGCCGCTGACGGTAAAGATTAAGGGCTCAGAAGATCCGGCGTCGATAACATAATTGCTGCCTGACTTGGTGAAACCGAAGGCTGCTGACACTGATGAGGCAAAGCAGAGTGTGGAGAGCAGCAGCGCTGATAGCAACATGGCGGTTGACTATTATTACTTCCTATTGACTGGCGATATTCGACGCAATTGGTCGCAGCGCAACCGTTAGCCCGGATCGAGAAAGGCGGTAACCTGGATATGATCTCATTATATATTACTTGAGGTGTCAAAGTGCTGTAGTGAGACCTTGAGAGGTGGGTATTAGCCTCGGGTATGTATGAGGTAGATTAACGAAATTCAGGCACAAGCACAAGCGTTGCTATGAATGCGGCGACTGCTAAGAGACTTGGACGGGAATGGACAAAACGGAACATCGCCTTGCGCATATTGGAGCGAGATGGGGCTAAAGAGACTTGAGAGTGAGAACTGACTGAACAAATATAGATCATAGGTCCCTATAAATTTGCTTGCGATTTTTTTAAATCCGATTTTCACTTTTTTGAGCGTCAACACTGAGGAACCAATAGCTGTTTCGCGACAGTGTTCATTCGTTGGTAGTTTGTCAGGTATTTAGAAGCAACAGACAGACCGGTGCGCTTATGAGAATTCATTGTGTAAGATGTCCACAGAGAAATGATACCTATAACATGATAGCCCTACTACAGGGCATTAACACGAAGCGGTAAGTTGACAAAAACAAGTGATTGACCTGCACCAAGGCGAAATCGCCGGCCAACGACACGAGAGCAGAATACACGAAGAAAGTGACAGGAAATTACAACTGCTTAGATGGTAGGTGCGTGGTTAATTGTATCGGCGTCTAATTGAGCTGTTAGATGTCATCACTAATCCGAACTTTGTAGGAATTTAGTTCTACTTAAGCTTTTATAGTAGTAGTAGTAAATATCCAAAAGTAGGACATAGGATATACATGTTACTAACCGACAGAATGCCAAACAAGGTAGCACTGCTTTTGCGGAAAACAGATTGCTGCCAACTGTTAATTGGTAGAAGGACATACTTATGCATCTACTTACTAGCTATGTGCTTGAGCTTGCTTCTGCGCTATCCTCATAAGACTACGCCTCAGCGGGCCGAGCCGATCCTGCACATGTAGACTTTGAGAACGATAGGTGACGTCTGCTGTCTATATTTATAACTTCAGAGGTCATAGAAGATGCATTGGCACCAGCGAACACTCGTGGGATTGAGAAGATCTCGTAGCTGTGGTGGTTCGCGGTAGGTAGCTAGGATGCGTTGAGAGACACCGACACGCATCTCTTGAATCGTCGAGATATACTTAGTAAAGTGGATTCGAAGCGATCGTGACACTAAATATATTTAGGTAGGTAGGTAGGCATCACCGATTTTTGCACAATGCTAGTGAGCTTTAGGAATGGGAATCGACGTCGATAATGAACATATCATCCCCTTGCCAATGCTTCTGAAACGGTGGGAGCGAGCGTGAACAAGGATATATAATGCCGGCATGCTACTGCAGAGGATTAATTATAGCTTACCCCTAGCATACCTTAATAAGTAACAACCTATCCTAGCTGCATGTATGGTCGTAGTCTGGTCGTAGTATGCGGTATCTCATGAGGAATGTTGTACTATAAATTGAGCGATCCCTCGGAACACCGGAACAAGTGAGGACTCGACAAAGAGATGTGGTTGCATCTTGCAAATGACATCGCACTCGCTAGCAAGTATTTCCCGCCACATCAATTCGTGAAACCAGCTGCTGGCCTTGCTGCATGCCTTAGTGGTATTATCGGCGTTTTGAGTCGACGACAAACTAGGTAGGTAACATATACACAGTAAGTACCCATAGTAAGTAATTAACTAAATTGCAGTACAGGATCCAAGCACCGAGGTCTGTCCACCCACCTTTCTTGTATGGTGGGCTACGCTAAGAGCTTGTGCGATTTCATACAAGTACAGTTATGATGTTGCTGAGGATTCTTTGAAGGGCTTCCGACCGTGTACTAGGTATGTGTACTCCTGGGCCACTCAGACGATGTACTAGATCATTGGGACGGACGAGATCCTCCTGAAAGACTATTACCGTACCCGAGTAGTGGTCCTTGCGTCTTGAGGAGCAACCGATTTGGTCGTTCTTCTACTATGTACGTAATGCAGAATAGCATGACTGCAGCTTGCACACACGTGAAGTCAACCTTTAGGGGTTAGCTTGCTAGCTGATCCTCGCTGCCCCTGGCCGCCCGGGTAGTGCAATGCGCAACCATCATCAGGATCGCTGGGATGGATTTTAGCCCGCATGGTAGTCGGTCACATTTCGGTACCAATCGGGAAGGACGTGCTACCGAATAGTGAATAAGGCTGAGTCAGGGGCTACCAGCTCCTGCGCACTCTACATTGGTACTACTCCTCAATCCGTCCAATTTCCATTCGCGGCGCGGGCACGACAGAAGTATTACAGTAGTAGAGTGCTGCCATCATCATGTTCCCTCGTGCAGGTGTTCGTCACGTCAGATGGGAGTGTTTGTACATATATAGCCTTGCGCTGGCGCCATCAACTCTCGTGACCTCACAATAAAAGGCCAGAGGCAGCACAGCCCTTTCCTTCACACTCGTTCTATCGAAACCTTCAATCTCGAAACAGAGGAAATTGAAGTGGCTGTGATCAAGATGCTTTTCCGTTCCCTTCTTGGCCTGGCCGGGCTGTTCGCCAAGTTGGCAGCGGCTGACCGACTCGTCTTCGCTCACTACATCGTCGGCCTCACATCTGGACAGACTAGGGATGAGTGGCAGCTGGACATCTCGCAGGCAAAAGCGTCGGGAATCGATGGCTTTGCTCTCAATATAGGGTCCCAGGACAGCTACAATGATGAGCAGCTCCATCTTGCCTATGACGTAGCTTCCTCCAACGGTTTCTCGATGTTCTTGTCCTTCGACATGCAAGCTTCTCAATGGAACGCCGACCAGATCAGCAGCTACATCAACACCTATAGTGGTTTTAGCAGCCAGCTGAGGATTAATGCAGTCCCTGTGGTGTCGACTTTTGAGGGGCCCTCACAAGCTGACATTTGGCCTGGGGTTCGGTCCGCTACTGGTGGCATATTCCTTATGCCCGACTGGGCTTCCCTCGGTGCCCAGGGTGTTGGGGACAAACTTTCTCTCATTGATGGCGCTTGTAAGTGTTGCTGTTTCCATCACCTGAAAGTGTATGCATTTAACATAGCATAGTCAATTGGGGCGCGTGGCCCGAAGCGAACCAGTTGGTTATGTCGACGGGCAACGATGTTGCATATAAATCAGTTTTACAGGGCAAGCCGTACATGATGGGTGTCAGTCCCTACTTCTACACTAGTAAGAATATCTATACCTAGGTCTTCCTATAGTTTATATTTTGAGGCTGATAAGACACGGCGCAGATCTACCATCCAAAAACTGGTACTCGTCTAGCGACTCGCTCTGGTTTGATCGTTGGAAGCAGGTCTTTGATATCATGCCTGAATACATCGAGATCATCACATGTGGGTAACCCTCGGCGGTGCAAAATGTCCTAGGCTAACAAATTGCACAGGGAACGACTATGGCGAGTCGAGCTACATCAACGCTCCTATCAGTCATCAAGTTATTCCTGATGCCACCGCATATGTCAACGGATTTGATCACACAGCTTTTCGATTTGTGCTTCCATACTTTATCAGTGCCTACAAGGCCGGTAATGCGAACGTCGCCGTTCCAGCCGAGGGGGCCGTAGCGTGGTACAGGACAACACCAGCAACCATATGCAGCGATGGTGGTATGTTGAAATGCAGAAAGGTCGCAATTTTGTCTGTTTCGTATTAACGACCTTCATAGGTACCGTCTGGGGCCAGGGAGGCAGTGCTTCAGCCGCTGGGGGAACTAAAGATGTTGTATCTATCATCGCGTTGACAAATGCGCCCACTGATATCAATGTCAAGATTGGTAGCGGAGATGCAGGTCGGTCGGTGAGTGCCACTAGCACTGTCGGTAAAGCCTCGTTCTACAACATCCCAACCGACGGAAGAACTGGTGCTGTCACTATCACTCTCAATGGGAAGTCGACAACGGGGCCTGAAATCACAAACAACTGCCCGTCTTCAGGTCATGTAAGTCGTTCCGATCGTACTAGCAACATAGAAGCGTATTCTGACATTTAATAGGTCAACTTCAATGCTGTTACTATCCAGGTCTAACCATGACATGAATTCTCATGCCGGTGTTAGTGGTGATGTAAAGGCATGACGCTGTGAAGGGACCGGTACACCATGAAATTCGTTTGAGGAGAAATCAAAGATGTCTCGTTCGTTCATATATTGGTAGTGTACGTTCGATAGCCGCGGTTGTGGTGCTCTAGTCGGGCTTCTTGATGCCCACTTGGAATTTGTCCGCCCACTCCGTAAATTTATCTTGAGTGCCAGTCCAAGGGACTTTAAGCATTTCTGCCGCAGCAAACGCATCAAAGAAGCAGGAATCCATTGCCTCGTCTATCGCACTAGTGTCCAGATCGTAAAACGCGCAGGCAACCTCTCCAAAGCGATGTGGCAAGCTCTTTAAGAGAGGATATACTTCGTCTAGACGTCGGGCGAGAGGCGGTGCTTGCTCGGCTATCAACGGAGGAAGAGTCTTTAGCCGCCTCTGGATGATGGCCGAGTAGAGTAAGGTGGTGAGTCGCAACCGCTTCAGGCATGAGTCCAAGCGTTCGCGGATTCTATCTGGATCGTCTCGGGGTATGCGCTGAGATGTCATGAGGTTATCGATCATCTCCTGGGCCGAGAGGTGAGTGTTTTGTAGATCGTCGGTGATATGCTGCAGGTTTCCGTCCCCTTCATCCTCATCCTCCTCTTGGTCTTCATCATCAACCTCTTCGCTCCATTCTTTCAGCTCTTCCAACACGTCCTGTAGTGTGTCCTTATATTCCTCGGCCTTCTTGATTAGGAGCCCTGCAATACCAATTTTTTTGAGAAGAATAAGGTCGTCACACGCAGCCCAAATGACGCCAGTGGTAACGATACTCCCTTTATCCCCGTTGGCTCCGTTCTTGCGATGGGCGGGTAGGGCGCTGCCATTCAGAGGGATGGCTTCAACCAAGCCTCTCAGCTCCTTAAGAACGCGATAGCATCTCCAAGCAAGGTCTTGGCGCACGATGGCGGTATAAGTGTCAGGGGTGCAGAGCTGGACGGCAGTGGCAGTAGCAGGTATAGGGCCAGCAACAAGCTCGCGCAAGACGGTGACGATAGCAGAAGGTGTGAACGGTTCGTTGATGATGAGGAGGGACAATTTGGTAGTGTGTGCCTTTATCAGGCTCGCCGAGTCGTGGGCTAGGGAGAGCGCATCGACGGGGCCGGAAGGATCGGGCGCGAGGGAGGAGAGAGGTGTGCAAGAGGAGCCTGGCAAGGCTTTGTCGAGAGCGATGGCATGAAGGCTTCCTTCGAACTGAGTAATGAGGCTGATGGTTGACTGAACGAGGGTTTTGAGGCTGTCGAGTGATCCACCCGCAGCCTTTGGCGGCATATTTCTTTTCTCCTACGTCTCAGCCTGGTGTGGTCGGAGACAGTCGAAACCGAGAAGTCCGTAGTCCGTAGTCTAGTAACAACTGCAGTGATGGATTGATTGTATCGTGAAAGGAAATTTTCTCGAGCGAGAGGTATATGGAGGGGCTCTTGGAGGGGTTGATGAGCTGAGCTATGTATCTACATAGTACTACGTTAGATTAGGTAAGGACCGTAAGGTAGGTACTTAGATACATGTGGGCCCTCTCAACTTGGCCATCTCCATCCTCCCGTCGATATCTTGACTTCGCCGCAACATTGAATGAGACAATTCTACATCGGGCACTATAGTGACCGGTTTATCGACTATTAGCGCGACGCGCACACACTGCATTCACTCAAATCTCCTCACGTATGAATAGACATTATACACAAATAATAGCTAGAATTAGTCATGGGCTTCGATACTGCTGCGCCCACAGATCTACCGAGCCCTGCCTTCTCTGAAAGCGTTTGCTCGTATGTGCCTCCGTATCAGTCTCCGTTAGTCATGGACCCTGACGGCGACCTCACTCTTGAGGTCGGGGAACTGCAATGTGTAGATCCTTTGCTGGATAGCGACGGACTCGGCGTATGCGACCCGAGTTTCAACCACAGACACGAGCTTCCAGTCGTCTTCGTAGTCTGCTCCAAGACATTATCGAGAGTATCTCCGGTCTGGAAAGCTCTCCTTTGCGGCGAATGGACTGAAAAAAGGCCTTCTTGGGGCTCATCAGCCTCGCATTAGAAGGTAGAGCTGCCTGATGATAATCCAACCGCCATGACTACTATCATCTCTATTATTCATTGTCGTTTTGAACTAGTACCGCCCGTCGACCAGCCCACCAGTATAGAACAACTTTATCAACTCACAGTTCTGACCAATAAGTATCTTCTCACTGGAATTCTGCGGCCTTGGGCAACCACTTGGTTAAGCTCTGTTATACGACAGAGTCAATCTGGATCAACCGTTCCTTGCACATACCAGCACGAGCGCCTATCATGGATTGCTTGGGAGATGGGAGATCCCCAGCTCTTCACAAAGTCTGCCGAGCTCCTAGCTCACCATTGCTCCATTGCTGCTAATGGCGACTTGTGCTATTACAATACACCGGTCAATTACGGCGGCTATTTTACCTTAACAATAAAGCCGCCCGGAATCGATGGTATATACACATTACCCCAGATTGCTTTTGTTGTTGACGTCGCACTAACGTTGCTAGAAACCGTGAGAGCTTTCCGATTAGAGTATATCAAAAGGGCGTTAGAAATCTACAGGCTTGCCTTTGAAGAATTACGCAACCCCTACAGTCGCAACAGAGCATATGGATTCTGCGCTAAAGGTGGCTAGGAAGCATTGAAATGCGAGAGAGCAATGCTAGATACTATGATGGCATCTCTTTCCTTGTCTAAGCCTAAGCTCTACCCTTTCCCACAACCTACTGATCTTTTAGAGGCTTTTTCTCGCATCTATGGCGTGTTGAGGCATGCCAAGATGCAAAGTCCGATACACCCCGATTGCGAAGGAATCAAGATGAGGGATAGAGTATTTCTTCAGCTTTGGGAAGCTACATTAAGTAAGAAGCCGTCCCTATTCAACCGGTTGGCCGAGCAAGGAAGAAAGTCAGGAGTGTAAGTAGCCTTGTAGCAGGCGAGCTTTTATACCATAATTGCTAATGAATGAATTCGGTTTAGCATGCGTTTTATTTAATTCCAGGCCTTTGCACCTAAGAACTACATAGGTACCAATAGAAAATAAGTGGACGATAACAGTAGGTTGCAGCATAGCTTGATTAGAAGGGTGGTGGGAAACTTATACCACATAGCAAAGAGGACGAACTGATCAATCATCCCTAGCCTGTGCAAATTCAGGTCTAAGCGGTCGCTTCTACGTCGCATATGATAGGTAAAAGCCTACGCTAGCTAATATCACGTGGTATCATTGTAAGGGCCTTTTGAGATTCTTAGAGTAGTGATATAAGGTAGAGTCAATTATGCACTCACTTTGTGATTCATGCATGGCCGGGAAGTCCGTGGAAAGATCTCTTATGATTCCACGGCTAACATCAACGTACTCCATTCCATAGTAGATACCTAACAGGTTTCTCTACAACTGGAATGCCGAATACTACCCTGCTAGTCCAATTCCAAAGGGTTGTACATGTAAAGCAGTTGGCTTACTAAGTACATTCACCAAGACACCGACTAGTACCAATGTTGAATATACTAGTCTCCCCCTCGTTCATTGGAAAGTACAAGTTGTAGTTGATAAGCCTCGGTAATGAAGCAATCGTAAATTGGGCAGCAACAACGATGCGTGTTGGGTGGTGTATTCTTTTCTATGCCATTGAAGTCACCTTTGCCTGCAATACAACACCCGGTGGTGGTATCAAACAATCTTTAGCAAATAGAGTATCGTGAAAGATGAAGTGGTAGGGTACTAGGGTTTTTTGATAGGGTAGAATGTAACATTTCCTGGAGGGCCAGAACTGCATGCGGGCAACGTTAGTCTATATAGATAATTATGGGAAAGTCTCTTGGCACTCTTCATCACATGACATGGGCCATATGCCATGGTGCCTCACAAGAAATGATCATAATCGTATCTTTGATAAAAGTTTCAATCCCTGGTTAATGACCGCGGATATAATCCAGCATCAAGTTGCCTTTCCTCCGAAGATTTTCATGGTGTAAGTGATTTGTTGTGGAGATAAGGAATCATAGTCAAGGTTAACAGAATACCGAACTATCCGCGCTACCCTCGGTGATATTGTATTGGGTCACCACTATCTTCTGCATATGCATGTCTGTAGCACGCTATCTGGACGTCGTAGGCTACCAAGAAGGTTGCAACCATCCGAACTGGAAGATATACTAGATTCAATCCTAGCGGTCGGACAGATGTGTCAAAGCGGATTGGCCCCAAAAAATATTAATGAGGGTGTGATGTAGTATCTTCGGACGTATATGGTCTCTAGCAACACATTCCATTTGCTCGACTATGAATCAGGCATGAAACAGGGATGGCTTACTCAGGCCCATCTCTACCATTACGCTTGAAAGCGTCATAAATGAATTCCATCATCTAGATCAGGAACCCCGCACTGCCAGTAAAGATAGATATATGATAGACTTTGCACCCTCCACCCCCTCATCATCTAGCTTCAACGCTTCCTTTTCAACCGTCAGTAGTGAAGATTGTTCCAGAATACCCCAGAAACCAGTGTAAGAACAGCGAAGATGCAGGGAGATATTCCTCTACGAGAACCGGTCCATAGCATCCAGGTTTGTGATCACTGTGAATACAAATATCTTCCACTAATTTTATAACAAGCCAGAAGACGAGTGGAGGGTCGAGCAGGGAATAGCGGGTGCAGAATTCTACCTACTTGATCAGACTAAGGGGCCTGGAGAACAACCACGGATTCCCGTCTCTAAACATCCGATTACGCCGCCAGTTGAGGCCAAGTTCGATGATGAGCTAGCTAAAGATGAGATCCCAGGCTGGAGCGGGTAAGTAATCGCATCACTCTGCCATAAAATCCTTCTCGTAACATCTACTTAGGTATGTCGAGTGGGAGGACTATCCTGGGAAGAAGAAGACTGCACACGACATATTGATGTCTCATGAGTTCCCTCCCCCCCCTGAGTTTCAGCTGGAGCCAATTCCCGGCACCAACCCGGTACTTGAAGGTCAGTTTATCGAAATACCGTCTAGTATTCGACTAACAATTACGAATCTAGGAATTCGATGGAAACAATGGCACCGTGCAAGTAATTAACCCTAAACTATGCTCCGTTAATGTCCTTATCACGATACAAGGCCATAAGTCTTCTCTCCTAGCCTGTCCTACTTTTTCAGAAGCTCAGATTTCGCAGAGGAGAGACGCTGACTCTAGATGACTAAAGTTGGAGGCCGACTCAAAGATGTACCTGAAGAATCGTGGAAGATTGTACTCGAAGAGAAAGACCCAAACATGCTGCATCTTCTTCAGTTCCCGTACAACGGGGAGCCACCGAAGAGACTAGTTACCGCACAAGCCATCACACCGAATCCTCTCCACTTCATCCGGAATCATGGCGGGTGAGTCGTTGACGCATGGCGAGGCACTTGGCCCTTACTTATTGTCAATAGTATCCCTGTTATAGATCCCGACTCCTGGTTTCTGAGGCTTGAGGGTCTTGTGCGAGAGCCTAAGAAACTCACGTTGGCCGACTTACAAGACGAAACCCGATTCCCTCGTATGGAGAGGCTAGTGACTATCCAATGTAGTGGGACGCGTCGTATTGAGCAGATTTCGCTTTATGCTGGCGAAGGCGATGAGAGTAAGGAATTCCCATAGTCATTCAAATCACTATCTTTCATAGGGGTGACATGACTCTAGTCTCAGTTACTAATTCTAAGTGTAGTGATTAACGCACCATGGGCTGAAGGCGCTATTGGTACGGCACGATATGTCGGCATCTCGCTTAAGAAAGTGATCAAGTACTGTGGCGGTCTCATCGACGGGGCGAAACACCTCGAACTTGTTGGTGCAGATACTGTAAGTGATCATCCATTATGCGCAACTTCGTTGTTGTAGTTCTTCAGTTTGTAGATTCTGTATTCTGGAAACTCTTGATGCATTTATATTCCCAAAACCATGATCAAAATTGGCACCGCTGACCGTAACTATTCAGTACTTCAAAATGAACGAAGTGATGAACTATGCCGTCAGCGTGCCCTACTCAAAGGTACGCGCAAACGAGGTAATGCTCGTCTGGGAAATGAATGGCCAGAAGCTACCCAAGATCCACGGCGCCCCGATTCGAGCAGTTGTCATGGGCTATATTGGCGCGAGAAGCGTGAAGTGGTTGTATCGAATTACAGCAATGAAAGAGCCAACCCGAGCCCCCGTTCAAAGCAGGGAGTATCTATACTTTAACCAGCAAGTCGGAAAGCATAACCAGAGATGGACAGATGGTATACAGATCCAGGAAATGCCTGTCAGCAGTGCTATCGTAAGTCACCTCTTAGGCCACAAATTCGAGGTTTACAAGTGTCCTCGCTAGTGTTTAGTGCCGCTCATGCACCTTTTGATTATCTAAATGGACTCGTCTAACTGCCTGTTTCTTAGATGTCGCCTTGGAACAAACAAGTCGTGATTCACGAAGGTAAGATCTCAGTGAAAGGATGGGCATATTCTGGTGGTGGGCGGTGGCCCGAGCGAGTCGAAGTTAGTGCCGATGGGGGTTTCTCTTGGTATATGGTACCAGTCGAGAACCTGAGTCCCAAGCACAAGTTTGCATGGAGAACGTGGACAATGGAGGTTCCTTGCGACGTAGAAGGGTGGATCGAACTCGTAGTCCGATGCTGGGACAACAGCCTAAGGTATGTTTTCAAGTATCTCTCGTATCACCATCCTCGTGTCTGCTCGAGGCTAACACTCTCACAGTAAGTACATCTTGAAGACCGGGTCTAGAAACGTCACAAAATCATGCCCACCGTGAAACATTTCTGGGGGATAATGGCCCAAGTCATCATGACAAGCTAACATGTTGTAGACACTCAACCCACAGAAGTCCGAAATGCTTGGAATTGGGGACTGCATGTGACGAGCAGTGCTCATAGGGTGAGGATTTACAGTGTTAACAAAAGCAAGGAAGTAACGAAAGCGAGACTGGAGGAGTTCGAGAGGAGACAAGTCAGTTTTGTGCCTATTACTCGGCCTACTGAGTTTCCTTATATGACCTGGAAGGAGTATGATGACTTCTTTGCCAAAGCTGGGCCGCGGGACATCGAGGTATAATAGGGCAATCGATCACTGTGAATAGGATCTACTTCAAGTGTTGTCTACGCACTTTGGCGGACTGCTAATCCTATTCCTTCGGGAGCCCGAGTTCATTCCTTCAACTTTACTTTGTCTTATTCTTCTTATAAAAAGAAATAACAAAAAATTTCTTTTTTCCAGGTTGTGATGGATGAAGCGCAGTCAGAACAAAAACTCGACACCTCCGAGATTCGAACTCGGGCTCCCGAAGGAACAGGATTAGCAGTCCTGCGCGTTAACCACTCCGCCAAAGTGCCTTGCTTACTAACTTGATGAGATCTATTGGGTTCTAGTTTAAATATATCACCGCACAATTAATACATCTTCTAGCTAAACGCATCATATGTGCTATGCGCGCCTGGTATACAGCCTTTGGTAGTAAAGATAAAGCAGTTGCTACATATCTAAGATGACTTTGTTTAGTCCCTGCTAATATGGAACATGTTGGTTGATTAAAGTTAATTATACTTAGCTGCACATTTACCTTAGGAGCTACCATAGGTTATTATACTGTGAAGAGCATCATTGTAGGCCCTAATCCAAACCTTTCTTAGCTGTAATTTAACTACTGTTAATCATTCTAAACATATCGAGAATGACTCCCTAGTTTGGATTGATTCTAGATACTCCCTAGGGGATGGGCATTCGCACATACGATCCCGTGTTTTGGTGCATACACTGTCCGCAGGGAAGATCTGTCTAGGGCTCTACTTTCGCAAGTGATAGACTCTAGTAACCCTAGCGTATCTATGGAAATACCAGGAAGCTGGCTTCCAGCTCTATTTCATTTTGGTTGCATTCTGCAATCTGGTTCGAAGTTGAGTTATTACTAAGCTTATAACTTTATGTAACCTTTGGTGCATATAGAGCTGCCTGTTGTATGGTAATTGATCTGCGGCTACTATGGGTATATACTATTAAACTATAAACCATGAAGCCTATTAAAATACCCAACCCCCTCTTTGAAGAAAGAAAAGAGTGTGATGTGAAGGTGTGCTCTCTCCCTGTATTGGTAGATGGGCAGCGAGGGTAATATGTGATACCACAAGAGTTTAGTTAGAGATATTACTATAGTTTAAAATAGTTTGCTGCTCTTCTCTTGTCCAAAAGTCCATCCACGCAACAATTTACTCATAGATCATAGGCAACGCAGCAAAAACTACAAAAAGATTCTTATGATGTTAATTGTAGTATACCGCTTGCATCAGTTAATTAGTCTAAATACCCTAATGTGTTATTCCAATAGTCGATAATTATACTACATCTATCACTATAATTAGATCATCAATATCTTTTCTCCCGAGTCCAAGCTAATACATCAATCCACAAGCGCCGTAACCATTGTGGGAGTTAGCGATGGACGTGGTCACAATTGACTTCCATAGACTACTGTTCGGTTACGAATCCCATCCCAAGTTAGTCGAACCGATGTGACGAGCGGGTCTTGGCGCTGTAACCAGTCAAGCGAGCCTATCGAAACGGCAGCGGAGATGCACGCGTGTCGGGAGGGCTGCAATGAATGATACCTAGCATGATACTACGTAGGCAACATAGGTTGGTGAGTTGGGTAGGTAGTAAGTATCCCGTCATACACACCCGGGCACGCTACTTTGCACTCTTACATGTACAACTTCAATGTTCATTGGACGATAGCTTAAAAGTGCCGATTCTTCTCGTCGGCGCCATCAAGGTCTATGAACAAAAGCAAAATACAGACTCGCCAGAACAACAGGGATTCAGCAAAGCAATCGATGACAATGGCAGGCTACTTGAAGAAGATTGGTATTAATTGCGATATGGGCGAGGGATTTGGGAAGTGGAAAATGGTATATTCTTCCAAGTATAGCTGCTTGACCCCTCACTAATCACGGTTGGCGTGTTTCTGCCGTAGGGTCCAGATGCCGAGCTCATTAAGCTCATAGATTACGCAAACATTGCCTGCGGTTTTCACGCTGGAGATCCGACTCTCATGCTGAATACTATCCGACTAGCCAAGGCACATGGGGTCAAGATCGGTGCTCACCCGGGGCTACAAGGTGAGTGCATGTGACGAATCGCACATCTCGACTGATTCATATGTACTTCTCATATCTAAACACAGAAGACAGACCTTCTCGGCTTTGGACGGCGAAAGATAGAGGTTCACCCAGACGACATGTACGCCATGATACTCTATCAAGTAGGCGCACTGAAAGCGATGCTGGACGCAGAAGGTGTACCCCTAAATCATATAAAACCACACGGCGAGCTATTCTTCTACATGCAACGAGACCTAAGTATCATGGATGCCGTCCTGCGCGCATGTGCCGTCTTCGGTGTACCGGTCTTTGGGTCTAAGGGCACAGAGCATCAAGCCGCCATGTGCGAGAAATACGGGCTTCTCTTCATCGAGGAAGCTTACACCGATCTCCAGTACAACAAAGACAAGAAACTAATGCCAGCCAGCGAGAGCAAGATGGCAACGGTAGATGATGTCTACTCAAGAACCCTTTCTATTGGCTTAGAAGACACTGTGGCGGACAACGAGGGGTCGATATTCAAGATTGGGTTCAACGGCGAACCTTTCCTGTTCTGCATTCATTCGGATATGCCATCTGCCCTCGAGAACGCCAAGGCCTGTCGAAAGGGGATTGATGAGATTAATGCTAAGAGAGGTTGGTAGCCATCGCTAGGAATACATCGAAGCTTCGTATACTACCTAGTAGCAAGCTTTTTGAGGCGGTAGGATACTGTCTTGTCGCTTTGAACACTTGTCCCGGCCTAATCGCACGTTGTCATTGAGGTCAGGAATTGCAAATCATAATTGAAGGGATGTATTAATGTATAGCGCCGAGCATATCTTAAAATTGGCGTCTAACAGGGCATTTGTAGGGGTGGAATACCTATGGGCACCGAGAGATCGGTAATGTTCTGGTTTCTGCTTTCCCTCATGTCTTTTTGGTAAAGAACATCAGTTGGGCTCCTAGGTCGATCACGGTAATTACACAAGCATTATAGCAGCGTGCTTTCATCGCACCCAATCATACCCTTCCAGCGTCATCTCCTCTAGGGCAGCCACATAAAATGGAGATGGGGTATCACGATATAGTCATTACTTTGGCTATTGACATGGCAGGGATAGACACCATGTAGTATAACGGGATGTGACACCGCCACCAGGGCAGCTCGGCCGCCTCAGGAAGCAGACGGGGTCAAATGGCAGCCCAAATATGCATGTTTGATATACAAGCGTTCTGGTACTTGCATAGGCATTGTGGCCCCTCAATGTTCTACCTCACATAGCGTCTTCTTGTCCAGATTAGCATCAGTAAGCGCAGTACGCTCGCAATATGGAGTATGATGTTAGCTTTGCTGTTAGCCTGCCGTGTAACCAGAAGCACTCACCCTTAATTGGTGTGGGCGGTTCAAGAGGGCATAGGATAGCCATAGCACAGGAAAAGCAGCAAAAAAGAAATCAGGGTAACAGGCTGTGATGACTTGTGCAGTTCAACCAGGAGGAAACCGTCTAGGACCATATGCTAGTCTTAGAAACGGTACAAACAAATATAGGTATCCGCGCACCAGACTCAGAAAGCCAAGCCTGGCGTCCACCCCAGTCTCTAATTACCCCTCGCATGCAGCAGGTTGCATCAGAGGTGATATGCGTAGGACCCTTCGAGTTCCGTAAGGACTCGAGGGCAAGATAAGGTGGACCATGCCCAACAAAGCAGTCCGAGCCACGGCTGTCATTAGGTACGTCTGTCGGGGGTTATCTATGTTGTGTTACTAAGTCAAAAGTTATCACCCTACAAATATCTATTACCTTGACTATCAACGGAAGGGCTAGTACCAGGTAACATCGGGATTTCAAAAGCACCAACCATACGCTCGTATAGTTGTATCATCGACACATGACGAAGACCACGCCAATGTTGTGGCAACGACAATCGTGATGGACTCCTCATTGAAGAATATTTCCAAGCTATTGATCGCCAACCGAGGTGAGATAGCTGTGCGGTGTATCAATGCTGCCCGATCCCTTGGAGTGGCCAGCGTCGCCATCTATACTATCTCAGATGCTACATCGCTCCACGTAAAGCTTGCCGATGAAGCCGTATTGCTCGCTGGGGATGGTAAATCGGGCTATTCGAACATGTACGTTTGAGGAATTTGGGCCCATGGCTTAAGCACTCCTAAGACGTACAATTGACCAGACGCTGAACTAACTTCTACAGAGATGACATTCTACGAGTTTGCGCTGAATGCTCTGCTGACGCTGTCATCCCCGGTTATGGATTTTTAAGTGAAAATGCCACTTTTGCGCAGAAAGTGCGTGATGCGGGGTTGGTGTTCGTTGGCCCAACGCCACAGTCTATCACAGAAATGGGCTTGAAACATCGGGCGAGGGAGATAGCACGGACTGCGAAGGTACCCATCATCCCGGGAACAGGCTTGTTAAGCTCAGAAGGTGAAGCATTGAATGCAGCTGATCGTTTGAGCTACCCGGTAAGATGCAGCCCTAAGAAGAAACCTGCCATGTTCTTTTTGCTAAGTAAAAGCGTCAGGTAATGCTCAAGGCAACAGGTGGCGGCGGCGGGATGGGCTTACATATATGTCGTTCTCCAGACGAGATACGCCGTGCTTTTCAAATGGCCCAGGACAGTGGCAAGAAGCTGCTCAACAATGCGGATGTGTTTCTAGAAAAGTATTATCCCCGGAGTCATCATATCGAAGTTCAGATATTTGGCAATGGCAGCGAGATCATTCACTTCGGAGAACGAGAGTGCAGCATTCAGAGACGGCATCAGAAGGTAACTATAAATCTAGCTTCAGTTACGATTATTCGGAACTGCATCTGACTGACTTGTCTTGAAGGTCATCGAAGAGTGCCCGAGCCCATTTGTTGAAGCCCATCCCGGTCTTCGACAGAAACTGACGACTTGCGCATTGAGATATGCGTCAACACTAAAATACAAATCAGCTGGGACTGTCGAATTTCTCGTCGACGACGACACTGCTGATTTCTTCTTCCTGGAGATGAACACAAGATTGCAAGTTGAGCATGGTATCACAGAACTGTGTTATGGTGTTGACATCGTAGCGTTGATGCTGCGCCAAGCTGATCTCGAGAAGGGTGGGCTTTGTGGATTGACATCTGATGAGCTATGGGCACTGCAAAAGTCTGGGCCCTCGGGTTCTGCCATCGAAGCTCGTATCTATGCAGAAGATCCATATCGCGACTTTGCACCTAGTCCAGGTTTTTTCCAAGAAGTACGATGGCCTTCAATAGAGGATACTAGGGTAGATACTTGGATACAGTCAGGGCAAAATGTCAGTTCACACTACGGTATGTCAACTGATGTCTTAGAACACTGTTCATGGTTGAGAAGTCCTAATGCTCAATATCCTGATTCTAGATCCTCTACTTGCTAAAGTTATGGTGCATGCACCGACAAGGCAGCAGGCCGTGGATAAGATGAGCCGCGTTTGTTCTTCTGCCGTTGTTTTGCGAGGCCCCATCACCAACCTTGACTTTGTGGGAGCAATAATAAGGTCCAATGCATTTGCCCAGGGGCGGACATTAACAACATTCTTGGATACTGACTTCTCTTACGGTACGTATACAAACCTGTTATGTCGGGTTTCGAGACCCGATGCTGGTAAAAAGATCTATTGCCTCATGGAGCTAACTATCGTTACAGTACCGTGTGGGATTGACGTGATCTCAGGTGGCACATACTCGACCATTCAGGACTTCCCGGCACGCCCGTCTATCGGATATGGAGTCCCCAAAAGTGGACCCATGGACAGCATCTCTTCACGTATTGCTAATCTCCTTGTCGGAAATCCTGTCGGTACTGAGGTTCTCGAAATCACCTGTATGCTACCCCTGGAGCTAGCTTCTTCCTATTCTAGGCGCTTGTGAAGGCCATTATTTCTTATTAGAACTACTCCTATGGGTTAGGAGTATACATGACTCTCAAAAATATGTTTCTGTTTCCCCTAAAAGAGCAGTTGCTGACTCCAGAGATCTGTAGTAATCGGTCCCGAAGTCGTATTCACCTGTTCAGCTATTGTCGCAGTTTGTGGCGCGGATTGCTCAATCTCTTTAGGAGAGGAAACAAGAAGACTGTGGTCATCTTTCTTCGTTCAAGCAGGCCAAACACTTAAGATTGGCTCCGCTACAAGCAATGGATGTCGGATGTATCTGGCAGTTCGAGGAGGCTTTCCTAACATACCATCCGTTTTCGGCTCAAAATCGACTACACCGAGCTTAAGATACGGCGGACTTCAGGGAAGGACCCTACGCACAGGAGATTTCTTGTACCTACAGAGCCCAGACGTGACTAATGTCTCACCAGAGGAAGGATTTTCTCTGCCCCCTCACATGATTCCCAACATGAGAAATCAAGAGGTCTATGCTCTTCAAGGCCCGCATGACTCAGAAGATATTATGACTGAAGACGACAGGGTAAAGCTTTATAACACAGCGTGGAAAGTTGGTCACAACTCTAGCAGGACTGGTATCCGATTGTTGGGCCCAAAACTAGACTGGGCTCGAAGAGGTGGAGGTGAAGCGGGCTCGCATCCGTCAAACTACCTGGAGTAAGAGTCACCCACATTAGTTTCCCTAAGACTATCGCTAACTAAAAAGCAGCTATGGATATCCTTCCCCTGGTGGAATGAACTGGGGGGGAGATTCGTCTTGCATATTCACGGCAGACAGCCCCAATTTTGGAGGGCTGATTTGTTCATCAACCGTGATTTCTGCAGACCTGTGGAAGCTTGGACAGCTCAAGCCTGGCGACACTTTTAGGCTGACACCCGTATCTCTGAAAGATGCCGTCAATCAGATCGGCCTAGTGGATGAGTACCTATCGGCCATTGAACATGTCATCAAGGGGAAACAGCTTACTGCGGGCAAGTTTCCAGACAAAATTGCTCGCACTGATATCGGACCGAGGTCTTCTGTACTAAAATCAGTGGTGCCATCGGATCAGCCTGCATTGCGACCACGCGTGACTTATCGACAAGTATGCATTGAATATACCATAGCCCCTTTTTTGCCGCATGAGTCTGACTCTATCACAGGGCGGAGACAAATTCTTGTTGATAGAAATGGGTGAACAATCAGCCAATGTAAGTATCATTGCTCGACTCAAGGTCCTGATGGAGAAGTTGCAGTCTCAAATCAAGGCGAAATTGCTCTTTACCCCCCACATATCATCACTGATGATTGAATACGATCCTCTTGAGATATCTCAAGCCGACCTCTTGAACCAGATTGATGCAATTGAGGCACAAATCACAGATACACTGGAGATGATTATACCATGTCGCGAGATCCGGCTTCCTTTGGTGATGGACCACCCGGATATAGAGATGTGTATCCAACGCTACATTGAAACAGTTAGGAGCAAGGCTGTTTATCTACCTGATAACCTGGAGTACATTAGGCGGTGCAACGGCCTCTCTTCTCGTCGGGAGGTATTTGACATGATACTGCAAGCGGAATATATGGTCCCAGCGGTGGGCTTCTTGTGCGGGACGCCCATGTTTTATCCTCTCAGCCCCAAGGTCATGACCTGCCAGAAGTATAATCCCACTAGAACAAATACACCCGGTGGCACGATTGGCTTTGGTGGTTCGCTTCTGGCTGGCTATTCTATTGAACAACCTGGAGGTTACATGATGGCAGCGAGAAGTTTGGAGATGTGGGATGTTTTCGGTACCAAGCCTGGATTCACGCCCGAACGGCCATGGCTCTTGAATCCTTTCGACAAGATCAAGTTCTACGAAGTCAGCATTGAAGAATACGATCTCCTTGCTCGAGACTACTTCGCTGGAAGACACGATTGGCAGATTACAGAGTCAACATTCGATGTCCGCAAGACTTACGAGAGTTTCCTCGAGGCTCAAAATGATCCAGATGTCGTAGATTTCAAGAGAAGACAATCCCAAGCGCTAGAGGAGCAAGAGAAGATCGAGGCGGTTCTCTACTCGGAATGGACTGCGGCTAATGCAGCGGCTGAAAAGGTCGCGAACCTAGTGATTGAAGAAGGAAGCAATGTTCCTATCTCGTCGCCGATGGCCGCAAACGTGTGGAAGATGGAAGTTCAAGTTGGAGATACCATTCTGCCTGGGCAAGTGGTTGCAGTTCTAGAAGCCATGAAGATGGAGATCAACGTCATTGCCCCGAAAGAAGCGCGAGGTCAAGTTCATGCAATTTTGAAAGGAGCGGGAAGCGTCGTGGACGCAGGCGATATTCTTGTTCTAATAAAGGAGTCAGCGTGAGATATTGACGAGTCGGAATCCTGGGTATTCAGTAGTGGCAATAGCGCCACTTTGGGTCAATTTGCTTCTGTAGGTGTGCAGCTGATTAGATCGAGTAGGTATATATATACATATATATATATAGCAACCCAATGAATGAATTAGAAATTGCTATGTGGGACTTGCAAAAATCTGATCGGGGTGAAAATGATTGATTGCTAAATAAAAAAATGTCGACACCTCCGAGATTCGAACTCGGGCTCCCGAAGGAACAGGATTAGCAGTCCTGCGCGTTAACCACTCCGCCAAAGTGCCCTGTAATGGGCCGATTCCATTTTGTGTTTAGATTGGTGCACGGTATTGATATACATATTGTACAAATTGTACCCCGACTGCCTTTTTGTTTTGTTTTGTTTTACGCACATGACTTGCAATTGAAAATGTATCTTTTGCAATAGAGTGAACCGCAGAATTATCGGTACCATTATGAATTAGCGTGTCCTCACGTGAAAGTTGAGTAAGTGACAATGGGGGAATTTCGGGTGTTCTATTTTTGAAGTAGCTGGATAGATAATGATAGGCATGCTCTGTGTGAAATAGCATGTCTAGGGAGTGCCTACTCCAGCAAGGTCAACCAGGGTGAGGTTACCAATCTGCAATAATAGAGGCCTGATCTAATGTAGGCATATGCTCTGTCTCCCGCCTAGTGCCTCAACCATTTTATCCGATTTCTTCATCTCAAATATCGCTACATTGGCATCCGAAACACCATGCTTATTTCGAAGACTTATTGCGCATGGATTCAATAGAAAACCTGAAAGCATGATCCACCTTCGTATATCAGCTATGCTGGAACTCGTGTCTACCCGATAGTGTCTGCGCTCATTAGCAAATGTGGCGGTCTCTGCTCATGAAAATGAGTTGTGTTTGAACGAGGACAACGAAAGACCACGAGAGCCAATGATACCAGCATGGTTCGGGATTTCGATAGTTCTATAACGAGTCAGGCATTGGGCACTTGATAGCGAAGAGCATATTATTCAAGTGTGGCCAAAGCAGTTGGGATCCGGATTTTCAATGTAATCAGTGGTACAGATAATCTAGCAACGGTCAGCTCTTTGGAGCAATGTCCCGGACCGATTGAAACTCACTTACGAATAGATCTTGGGGTAAGTAGAACGTATTTCCGGGGGACTGATGAGACCACTGTGATGGGGGGAAACCGCCCATCTTCTTGTGTCAGTGCCCGAAAGACAGACGGGTAACCTACGAAGGTCGAACAGCGTCTAATTGGTGTGCGAGAAGCTTAGCTCTTGGATAGGACCGTTCAGTCTGTTACTCATTGCCGAGTGCCGAAGGCAGCAAGAGTACTGATGGCTTGAGGGGTCTCTGGTATCCAGGAAGGCTGAGGAAGAAACTCGGACCGAACATAAATACGACCCTCGACAGTCCGCATGAAGAAGCCACCTGGTCTACCGACCACCTCCGCTCCGTTAATTGTCTGTACGACAGAGTAGGGTCCGGTCGAAATATCCCTTACCCTCATCTCGTCTGGGGGGAGGCCAGGACAAGAAGGTTCGCCGGATAAGCATCCATCATCAGTTAGAATTGCGCCGTGCTCGATTTCGATGAGACGTTTCGCTGAGGCGAACATTGCTACCAATTCCCACAGACTCTCCTTCACCGCTGATAGTTGCTTCATCAACGATAATGCTCGCAATCTCGTCTCGAGGCAGCGGCACTTCATCGTCACAAAGTACAACAACGGTATGAAGCCCATTTCAAAAGTGAACTTGACTGTTCTGGAGTCGGAAGGTTCTACAGTGGTGAGTAATACTACCATAGCGCGGAAAGTATCGAGCCATCTGTCGTATGAGGTTTCATCGGTCTCGAAGCAATTCTCCGTCCACACACAGTACAAGTGATACTTCATGAGCATGTTGCATCGATGTATATGGGCCAGCCCTGACTCAGGTGATTTGTGCTCTAGTTGCACAAAATTTGAGTGCCATGTCTCAAGCAATGTACGGGTAAGATCTTGCTCGGCGAGGATACTAGGAGGAGCGTCCTTGTGTCTCATATGGCCAAGACGGTAGACGTCACAACGTCGGATCAGCCGGATAGTGCGACCAAGTATTCCATCGAGGTAAAACTGGGCGTCACTGAAAGAGGAGAAAGACGGGATAGCATCATCTAGACACAATAGGACAGGCCCTGAATCCTCAGGATTGCGGAAGAAGAAAGGTAGCACGCTCAAACGCCGAAAAATGGGAGACAAATGCTCTCTGGCCCACGGATAGGTCTCTTCGACCCGTTTTAGAATGGAAACCCCGTGCTGGCTATGTAAGGTGGCGCCGGCTCGGTTCCCACGAAGGAATTCTATGCAGACGAAGAGGACGCAAACGAGCAAGACTAGCGATTCATTTTTCATAGTTTTGAGATGCTGGATAGCGGAATTGTAATGTAAGAGAACCAGGTTATCATCAGGCAACGGCGTTGTGCTGTCCCGATGACTGTCCACCTGCTCATAGAGCGAAGCCAAAGCGACGACGGAGTGTCTGACAGCTGGCTCCATTTGGCTGAACTGAAGAACCAGGTGTGTCCAAAAATAGGGGTCCAGCGGACCGGACAGGACCGGGGCGGCAACCTCGACGAAGAACTGCAAGGACCGCCGTTCGGAACTATCATGCACATTTGGGAACAAGTGACGCGGTCGATACCATGATACGGCCGAAGATGGTGAGACTGGTGCGTAGCCATCGCATTTCCGTTTCGTACTAGTACACTGAAAGAAGAACGAATGACACAACCTGGTCAGCGGGTATTGTTGCAAGTATTCCCCTTTGGGGCCGGGCGGCCGCGGAAAGGCGGAATAGCCTTATACTCGAGTCTACTTGGGCTGAATGATACGGGTAGGAAGTCTACACTTACACGTCTGCAGGACGGCTTTTCTTCGTCACATTTCACTTTTCGGATCCTAAGAGCCGGGAAAGGTCTGGTCAGCCACTAGATCGGACAAGCGGGAGGGGCCTGGGCGACGGAGATGGGAGAACCCAACTTGCAGGTCAGACAGCCTGTTCGGACCTTGACGTTTCCTTTACGAGGCATGATCAATGCAGGATCTCCAAAGCCAATGGCTAGTTAGGCAGGGAATGGAAGGTGGTGAATGGAGACAGTCCGACCGAACCAATGCGAGCAGTGGGTTAGATAGATGGTTAGGTAGGCAGAGGGAGCTTTCAATGGTGTTGGTGGACCTGGGAATTAGCTGAGATGAATGGAAGCATGACACAGCGCATAGATATATTGTCCTCTTGACCACAGTTCATATGCGATTCCAATTGTCTTTCGAGGCACGCCGACCTACACCTACACGTCCGCCGCATTTGGTGCGAAGCTCGTGAGTTCTTCTCTATCCCAACGGCAAGGCAGCAGGTATCGCGCTGAGGCTTACTAAACATTAAGTCCCAAGATATGGGGCAAAGTCCGAGCCAGCCAATTGCGCTGCTCAGAACAGTGCACCGCACAGCAGGATCCCTTAACCTGGTATGGTACTGCCAATTGTGAACAGCAATTGATCACATAATTCGCATATATACGTAGATATATATATATATAGGTATAGGTATATCTATATATTTAGACGATCGCTTATGTCTTTTCTCTACGATCCGTGACCAGGCTTTCGTTTGCGAGATGCCTCCTCCGTTTAGCTCTGAGCATTAGCAAGTTACGGTGAGAAAGCCTTTGACGAGACACAGACAACCAATCCCCGAACTCGCAATACTAATTGTCATCTTTCCAACACTCCCCGGCCAAGCCAAACACCCAGACTGGCCCGCTTGAGGAATTGCAAGAGGTGTGAGAATTGTGGCTTGAACTATTTCTCCGTTTCTCCCTCATCACGTCGCGGGGTGCTGCGATCAGTCAGCACCGGCCGGTTAATGTCAGATTTCATCCGCCAAGCAGCGATATCAGCCCAGCGACACTTAGGAAGCTGACGCTTACAAGACACGCAAACCCAAGACAATAGGTACGCATGGAACACGCAATGGGAGCAATACACATGAGTCACGATAGAGATTACCATTCATTAGGACCGTTGCACACCGTAGACTGAGCATTCAACCAACCAAACAGGCATCTCAATTTTCCTTTTTTCCTTGGCCCACGTCAACAGCCGTCTTCAACCGCTCGCGCCCGCCAATCTATTCCGAATTGTAGCGACCCTCGCCTGCTGCCTCCATAACGATTTCAACTGGCATGTAATCCGCCGTCATGAACGCAGAACCTGTGTCATATCATATCCGTGTTAGTCCATGCGTATCAATCCGGATCGGGATCGGTTATTGGACTCGGAGAGGAAGGGCTTACCATCCGTCCACTTCACGCCCCAGCTATCCTTGGCCCCCGGGAAAGCAACCCATCTGCCCTGACCATCGTTGGTGAGCTTGCCATTGGAGACCCGGAACGCATCCCACTCCATAACCAATCCGTCCGCAGGTTTCGCGCCGGAAGGATTAACCATGTCGGTGAGGGTCATGAGGCCGTTCGATCCAACGAGAGCAAGGGCATGGTCAACGATGCCAACGGGATATGTGTGCAGCTGGCTGCAGCCCGCCTTTTTGCTGCTAGTTCGGTAGACTCTGATGGCGGCGGTGTCGTCGATATCGTAGACGCCAATGGTCGAAGCATTTGACGACAGGTACCGGTCGTCGATGGCTTTTACGGGACTAGGTACAAAGGTTAGGGCTTGCTCGACCCTCAAGTTTTTTCTTAGGTACATGTGTGATGTACTCACGAGCTGATTTTGAGCTTGAAGAGGTCCAGGCCGTCAGTTGGGGCAGCTAAGCTGCTGGCAATGAAGCCAAGAGATATGATACTGATAGCCCACTTCATCTTGGTACAACAGGTAAGTACGCGTGCTTGAGGAAGAGAGTGAATTTATTCTATGCTTTTCTTTTTCGAGGATAAATGGGATCGAGATGGCAGTATGCTGAGGATGGTAGACGGGCCAGGAATGCAGAATATGGCCGGAATAAAGGGAGGCTATTTATGCTAAGTGAGAGGCAGCTTGCTTCTCTGTGAAACCAGGCGATGGCCTTCCCGTAGCCAGCCCAACACTGATCTCATGGAAAGTGCTCCGTTAATCAGTTCATCATACTGCAGAGTTAAATGGGGCAGCGGCGAAATTGTGTTATTCCCTTTCTCGCCTGTAATTGAAATGGTAGGTAGGGTTGCATATAGGACTTGGAAGGCTCTTCTTGTCTTGTCAAGCACGACGATGACGGCATGCCATTCCGCATTGGCAAGGGGAACCAGAAATGGAAACAAGCAGACAGCACGGTGACACCTTGCCCTCGAACCTTGCCGAGACTGGAGAAGAGAGCATCATCTCTAGGATGAACAATACGAGGCGTGCGCGGGGTAGAAACGGTATTCCTCAAATTGGTGTTACACGCATCCTTCACTTGTCACGCTTCACTACAAAGCATACGCCAACAACAGGAGACGCCAAGATGACTCTTAAAATCAACGATTCAAGCCGGTGCGACTTATGGTGGTCGTTCAGGGCCGCCGTCCGAATCAAGGGAGGCCTGGCGTATCAGTCTCAGACCTCAATTACCACCACGCGGTCCATTTGCATGCCTGGGGGTGCCAGCGAGAAAAGGACACTTTTCCCTTTGGTCCAGGCGAAGATTCATCCGAAGCCAACCTTTTCTCCTCCCCTTGTAAAAATAGGTTGAACAAAACGTTGTGTGTACCTAGGTAGGTACATATGTAAGTAGGTAAGGAGGTAGGGAGATAGGTGAAGCAGATATTGTAGCTGCAGTCAATTAAAAGTTGGAAGGGTAGGCAATATATACAGTTGCTAATTTTAGTGGTCTCGGGCCACTGGGCGACTCTTGGCTCATCTGGACGAGAGCCTAGCCATCGCTAGAACGCCTTCCGTAGGCGAGACACGGGGGGCGCTCTAGCGGGATCGCCCCCTAAATTCCCCTAAAGGTCCGCGTTGGGCAGGCCCTGGAGGCACATGTACCGCGGCCAGCAGGCTAAACTCAACAATAGCCTGCCAAGATGGGCCTCCTTGTCGTCCACCATACTTCATACTTCACCCGAGCTGTTGGAAACGACCAAAGACGAGTGGATAGTATTATTATTATTATACGACCGTCACCTATAGTATCATGAGACGTGAGCATGATCTTCTCCGATGCTAGCCGCGATGCAGTACACATCATGAACATACATGTTATGAAGATGCATGTCATACGTGACAAGTTTGCGAGCCACGTAACAGGCAGGCAAGTGCCCGGTCTCAACCCTTCGACTGAACATTCTTCTTCGGCTCATACTCGAATGACAACGGACGGCGGCCGGCGAGCTGCATTACGCCCTGGGTGAAGTTTCGGCTCTATTCGGACACAATGTCTCGTATTAACGAGTATGTACATTGGCCAATGCTCGGAGGACCCCCGGTTTTCTAGGTCCTATGACTATCTTCTCCTACTCTTCTTATAATTGAATACACCTGGAGTTAGGGGGCAGAAACTTGGCTGTTCTGTGGATAGTGAGGCTTCGTCCATTTTGAAACCCAGGGTTGCTTCGTGTCAACCGATGACTCCGGCAATATTCATCTTAGCCAGCTCCCCCAAACGGCAGCCATCAAGGTGAATGGGGCGGGATAGCCCCTGATCGTAGCTGCGCCTATACAATGACCCAACTTTATCCATCGCTTGAAGTAAAGCTTCTCAGTATCTTGCTCCCGGACAAAGATCAATCTATGAGTTCAGATTCGACGCGTCGACACTGAGCAAAGAAATGCTCCAAGGTCCATCCTCATTGGGCAAATCACAACTTTCTGATGAAACTATTTACAAAGAATTCATCGTTTGGGGGTTGTAAACCATGTGAATAGGATTATGCTCAAATATAATAGCTATCGTCGACATCGCCATATAATTACTGATTCGAGCGAAAGTCCTAAGTGGGCCAATTGCATGGTCGGAACTCCTTTTCTATCTCGCAGGCCCTAGTTGTCACTTCGCCCATTAGCTTTGGAGACGCAGCGGCATCAATGAGAAACCTGCTGCCGTGACACTTTGCAGGACGACGCGTTACGTCAATCGGTCACAAGCCGACATGTATTAGTTTGATAAAGGTGCGAGGAAACTCATATGTACATAAATCCCCCCTTGAGGCTCGCTATCCTTGATCTCCCTTTTTATAATCCTCATTGACCAGCGAGGTGGGGTCTTCCTGAGACCTTTTGCTAGGCCTGTTCGCGATGAGACCTCGAGGAAAGCGTTAGATAGCATCAAGAGGCGGGACACACGCCACACCAAAACTGTCAATATATACGGCACGCTTTTTCATACCCATAATCTAACCTACCAACGCATATCCGCACGGCGTTCTAGCGTACTGCCTTTCAAGCACGCACCCGGGTTTAACGAGTCTCTCATCATATTCCACCAGCCGTGCCAGTCCTTTTACTATCCAAGTACCAGAAACTCCCGATCTTAAGACAGGTTCCCCAAGATGGATACATTTGATCAGGTCGTGTACAGAGGTGTTTGGGTGATACTCTTCCTGTACGCCGTCAGCACCACCATCGCCTTCGTTCGACAAAGCTACACTGCTTGTGTGGCATCTCTCATCTTTGCCTGCGTTCTCTTGCTAGATCTGTCTCTAGTCAATGTATGGTTCTTCATTCCATCATTCTTGTCCCACCTCGGGGAAATCGGCCTTCACGTTGACAGCGTTATTGACCTCGTTCGAGTCATACTCACGAGCGACGCTGCACAAGATGCCTATACGATGCTGCTAGGATCATGTAAGTCCAGGTCCAGTGATTCCCCATCGGTGTTAAATGCTCCGTCATATGGCTGTCGTCTGCTTTCAGCTCACCTGATTGAACTACCGATGTACACGTGTATCCTCAAGAATTACTGACTCTTACTGCGCAGTCGGGAGCGGACTTGCCGTATTCAATGCCGCAAGCATGTTACAAAACGAAGCCATGCGTTCCCAAAAGCAAAGGAGATCATCAGAATGTTTTATCGATCGCGTCTATCGAGTATCTGAATATTTAGACGTTAAAGATCGAGACGGGGACACTTTGCCTGTGTTCAAGTCTTGAATTCATCATCATGGAAAGGGTTCTTTCCCCTCGACTCTAAGATTTGTCAGAAAGTGATATACCGCCTTCACAGCCATGATCACTTTCTGCTCTGCTCATACGATTGCGCGTTATCGGTATCCTCGATTTATCTTGGTAACATATGTTCATTTGATTTCTTTTTTCTCAAGAGCAAACACATCGCGAAAGACACGGCCGCCCTTATAAGGCAATGAAACGATAATATAGTTATTAGATTGCCGGTTTTCTACATCACGCACATTTTGGGTTCATTACTGTTGAAAAAGGGGTAATGCAACATGACCCTGTCATTTGTCCCATAGAACAAATCATTATTTTTTTGGGGTGTCGTACTGGCCTTGTCCACCCAGGATTTATTTCTCCGCTAGTAGTAATGAAAGTTTAAATGGTATATCTGTCTGTATGATGCGTGACAGGTCGATAGACGAAGTAGTCAAACTTAGCGGCTAGTGCGGTTCCATTCAAGTCAGAACAGGCGACACCTGCAAACGCACCCGTAAAACTGCCATGGACCTGGTGCCCGCCACATTCGTCGGAGACAATCGATGCATCGAACACAGGTCCGATTTTCTGCAGTTCCGGATCACTCTCAAGAGCGTACCAGAATTGCAAATCGCGGCCGCGGACCGTGACGGCTAACTTGACTTTCCCCTCGTTAGGGATTCTCCTAGGCTCGGAGAAAGGGAGCTTGAGTTTCCCAAGCGGCCAGGACGCTTCGGACGACATGATGAGGAGCTCGCGCTGTCCGTCTGAGTGCGCCGTCACGGTCAGGTAGAAAAAGTTGAATCGGCTGTAGTAGGCCGTGAGTCCGGCGAACTGCCGCTCATCTTCGGGCGAAAAGTCTACAACGGTCTCGGCATCATAGGAGAAATGTTCTTGTCGCCGAGCTACCAGAGACTGCTCGAACCACGAGCCGATGGACTCGCGCCCGAATAAAGTAAGTTTACCATCCTCGAGAGCAAATATGCGCTCCGGTTCTGGCGTCCGGAGCCATTGGAAATCCTTGTGCAATTCATCGCCGAATGCGTATTTTCGCTCGGCCCAGTACTGTTTCTCGTCCCGTGCACCTGGTAACTCTACATGTAACGAAGGAACCGGTCCGTTCTTGACATAGAGCCAGTCATCCTCCCAATATGCCTCTTGAATCGCCGTCTCACGACCTAATACGCAGCGGCGCTCTTGGGTTGTCGGACGACCAGTTAGATGGACTAAATATGTCTTGCCATCCAGCGTCTCAACGATGTCGCCATGGCCAGCTCTCTGCAAGGCGGCATGCGGGTGATTCTTCGAGGACAATATGTGTTTATCAGGGTGTACGGTATAGGGACCCCAAATGTCACGCGAACGGGCGAGTGTGCAGGCATGGTAATACCCTGTACCTCCCTCTGCGGTAAGCAAGTAATACCAGTCATGTCTCTTGTAAAGGTGAGGCCCCTCTACTAAATCTAAGTCTGTGCCAAAGAAGATGTTTTTCCGTGGCCCGATCAGTTTCCCGGCGGCGGGGTCGAACTCTTGCAATACGATTCCGGCGAACGTCCGAGGTCGACCGCGATAGTCTGCTAGCATGTTGACGAACCATTTCCTTCCGTCGTCATCGTGGAACAGAGACGGGTCGAAACCAGACGAATTAGCAAAGACGGGATCGGACCAGGGGCCCTCTATGCTGGGAGAAGAGACAATATAGTTGTGAGTGTCCTTGAATGAGCCGTCTTTGCGTTTCACATCGGTGTACACGAGCCAGAACTTCTCGCCATCGTGAGTCAGGCAAGGGGCCCAAACTCCGCAGCTGTCCGGATTGCCGCGAATGTCCAGCTGGCTCTTCCGGTTGAGCGGACGGGTGACCAGCGTCCAGTTTGCCAAGTCCCGGGAATGGTGGATCTGAACTCCGGGGTACCACTCGAACGTCGACGTGGCGATGTAGTAGTCCTCGCCGACCCGGAGGATCGAAGGGTCGGCGTTGAAACCGGGGAGGATGGGATTTGTCACTAGGGGCATGATGGAAAGCTGTGCAGGTGTTGGTGTAGGGAACTGATATGGCAGACGACTATGCCGACTTCTTGTTATCGTGGGATCAGATTACACGAGCTCGTCAGGGCTTTAATATCATAGGCATGATATTCAAGGATGACGATTTCCGCTTCCAGCCCACCTCAAGCATCATCTTGACGGAGACATATAGCTATCATCGCATTGCCAAGACTCGTCGCAGGACCACGCATTTATCCGCAGAAACCCAATAGGTCAAAGCAGGGGAGGGGGCGCTCGAGTCTACAGTAGCACATCTTGTAGCTTAACAACCTCCGATTGTTGCTAATTGATGTGACCTAGAGCAACTTTAACCCTTACGAAAATGGTCACTATATTGCGCATGTGGTAGACGGCTTGGCCTTAACATTATAATGCATTGCGATTACCTAAGTCTTATATATTAGCAGATGTAGGCAAAATAAGTGAATACTAGATTAACTAAAATGCAGTTAAGAGTGAAGTATTCACGCACACAAGAGAACTCAACAAAGCTTACAGTAAGATATTCCTCTACAAGAGAATGAGAACATTGATCCTCGCCTCGCCTTGAGCTGTTAGAGCTCACGAGCGAGTGTTTCTGACTATCACAGGGCGTCTGCAATGAAGAAGGGGTGGCTATAGACTTTACTGGAGTGGTCTGAGGTACTAGAAGCATGCCCCAGCCTTGGTTGAGTCGGCTGTCATCTGGGTAATATTAAATCTCGTCTCCTGCTTTTTGTTTCGCTTATTCACATGATGGAAATCCTCATAGGGGCCCTGTACAAATCCACGCTAGCACACACCCACCTCACATTTCTCATGTGTCTGCCCTTACTGATGTAGCCTATATAAGGTTATTAGAAAGGAATTTCATAGGAGAAGATATGTTGCCCGTTGGGATGAACGATGCACGCCATTTGACCATGATATGAGAACATCCAATTGGCGGTTGCCGTGTAGCAATGGTGCAATAGCATATCTAATGAGACCATATTCCTCATCTTAATCCCATTTTGAAAATCCTAAATTGACCACTGTCAGAATCGGAACACCCTACAAAGAACAAAGAGACGTGAAGAATAGGGGCACGATGAGCTTTACAAACATACCTAGCGCAGCATGGCTTGGAATGCTAGTGAGGAGTTTCATCCAACTGCAATAACCGATCAAGTTTTGTTTGTGATATTTACCGCAACTCTCCTTTAGAGATCAAATCAACCATAAGATTTGCAGCTCAATCAATATGAGACTAAACTCGTTAATAAATCGTTCATTATCAGCTCTTGTGTAGATACGTAGTACTAGGTGAGCTCATGAGAGTCGTATTGTAAGTGTGGTTCTCAGCTCTGTCACATGTCCCACTATCCGGGGGTCCGTTGAAGTACGGCCTGCTTCAAAGTGGTGCAGTGCATTCATTAAATTGCATGTTCGTCGACTCGTAAGCCATATGATATCATTATCTAGGTATTACACATTCAAGCGTTTTCAAGCTCTTTTCTGCCACGGCTTCCATCCAACACTTATGCGCCGGCAGCGGGACCACCAATCCAGCTAGGGTTGAGCCGAGTAATGACTTCACGCTCCTTGTATAGACCATCAACGAGCCTGTTGAACCAAGTGGCCATTCGCAGCGCAGCCTTAGCGACCTGGATCTCAACAATGGGATAAGCACCCTCAGCATAACCGCTTGTGGCGATATCGGTAGCGTTGAAGTATTGAGAGTAGACGTAGTCGCAGGTCCACTCATTAGTGTCGCGGGCCCACGTCAAGGCGCATCCCTCTGGCCTTCCGGGGTCGCTGCAAGACACCCAATCGGCAGTTGGGACGAAGAAGTTGTCTTGTCGGATACGCGACACAACTTTCTTGAAGAAAGGCTGAATAGTATCGTTGTTAAAAGACTTAACGCCAGCGAGCTGGTAGATGATGGCGCCATCCCAGACCTGATTGCCACCAAATAGGTAGTCAGCTTGGCAATCCAGAAGCTCGTCATCGAGGGCGGAAGAATGAAGCGGTGCATGAGGTAAAGGGAGTACATACCGCGTGCAAATTCGTTGTAGCTCCATTGAAGTTAACGGGAAAGAAGTTTCCACCGGCAGCAATGCCGCTAACATGCAACGGCTGTGCCATGTCGCCGGTGAAGTGCGCGATGAACTTGACTGCTGCGGCGCAAGTCGCGTCCTCACCGTGGCGGATCTTGCCGAACTTAGCCTTTCGAATGCAGTCTTTCAAAATCTGGGTCTGATTCGTATAGGCACTGACGATACTGCCCTTCAACGTGTTATCACGGTTGGGATAAACTTGGATTCAGGTCAGCAACTCAATTCATTTGCTTCATATGATAGTAACATACCATTGCAGTAGGCCGGTGGGTCGTCCGCGGGATCGATGTAGTGCCACGTCTCAGTGTAGGCACCCTCTGGGGTTTTGCGATACCGATCTGGCCAGGCCGCTACCTGACCAAGACTGCCTTTATACTCAGGCTCTAGCAGTTGCCTGAGGATGATGCGGGTGAGAGGAGTTAGGAACTCCTCGGCGGCGAAAGCGATTTGTTGGTGCACTGCGTTGACCATCTGGGTTAGCGAGAGAGCCCCAGCATCACTCGACTAGACGACATATCTTGACGAATGGTCGGGTTCTTTTTCCTTACCATCGGTGTTCCAGGCGAGAGACGGCGCGGCGAAGATGCCGGCAAGAGCTGCGATCTTAAAGGCGCGCATCATGAATCGACCAAGTGTACCTCGTTGCGGAGTGGATCAGATAGCAGAACCTCGCCTCGATCGCAAGTCGCAGGAAGAGAAACAAGGTCGGTGAGAAGGGAAATTACGTATTTATAAATACAGCGCAGCCCATCGCGGCCGGCCAACGGCGCGGGTGCTTATCACCATGCGAGACCAATACGGGAAAATTCTCCATTGGCACTAGACCGACCCAGCGCGAGCCTCGAAGATGCACGTCCAGGCATTGCACGCAGCTAGGACGGTCAGAGACGGTGGCAAACCCAGAGAATGGGGATCGAGCTTTGTCCTGAAGAAGAAGTTGAGCGTGGAATTCCCGAGTGAGACGATGGCCTCGACGGGGTCGGAGACGGGGTTGGAGATTGCCTCGGTCGTTCGACCTGACTATTCTGGTTAGCCGTCTGTGCCTAGCCTGGGGCTTCTAGCTGGCTACTAGCTGGCTAGGACGGCTAGATAGGGCCTCTGGTACGCTGCTGTTCGCTCGCCTGGCCAGCTGGTAGGACCCTGCAGCACTGCTACAGATAACTAACAGAGGCTACTAGGTAGGGGGTTATAGTGGATTCCTAGGCCCTAGAGTACCTGCGCGGACCCAGATGTCCGGGTCGCAGCTACACGTCTCTTATCTGCTTTCGTGATAGCTCTGATAACTCAACCTCAGCTCCAAGGGTACGATCCGGGGTTTTTGTCCCTATCTGTCCTAGCGAGCCTAGGCCAACTTTCCAACTATTCTATCACTGCGTGCGGCCTGATCAGATCGCGAGGCTTAGCTGAGTGCATAGTCAAGGGCAGAGCAAGGGATCATCGCGATCGACATCTTCATATCCGCTCCTTGGCCGTTGAGCTGTGTGAGGCAAATGGTTGTCATTTCCCCCGTGGGCGATGATATCCCCATCGAAAGCTGCTTACTCAAGAACTCAAACTCCCCTCACTAGACAATCGTTTTACATACAAATATTGAGCAACGTGATCTTCGAGAAGATAAGTACCTCGAGACCGGTGACTTTAGGACGTGCGCCGGACAGCTAGGGTCAGATGTGGAGGCGGCCGTCCTCTTCCGCCTACAGCGAGCACGTGCCGAATTGCCTAGGTTGGCTGTTTATCATCTGCTTCAACAGGCGCTGAATCATCCTGGGTTTCTTCGGCCCCTTCTTTTCCCTCTTGCTTCTCTTTCATCTTCGTGGCCATTTCATTCTCAAGCTGTTGCCATCCTTCCTCTGTCGTGGGCGTGTTTTGAAACAAGGTGCTGAGAAGCACTCTATGAGCGGGAATGCGCTTAAATGACTCGTCCCACTGTCGGCCGTCTGGGAAAACTAGAGCTTCTGCATTGATGGCGACGGTCTTGCCGCATGTCTCGTGAATTTGGTCTTGGTTTTGGTTTTCTTGTAAGCTTGGTGCATATGCTGTTTGCCCTAAACTCGAGTCCGCGGATCCATGACCAAGCAGGAGGGACATCCGGAGTGCGTCTCTCATCAATTCGTTCTTAGCTGGAGGCGGCTTCGGGTAGTGGCTGAGAAGAACTCCGCGAAACGAGTCATCTGGTGGACAGGCTTCACCATCCATAACACCATGGACGTAAGCAGTCCCGACGAAGGCATAGAGTGGCTCGACCGAGGCCGTTGCTGCAGCACCTGAGTCATGACCGGTGACAGCTCCAGATTCCGGCGTAAGCGATCGAAGGATGACAGGGACGTTGGAGCCTTGTAGCAGAAACACATGGTCTCCAACTGAGACCTCTTTCTCCTGCCCAAACACAGTCGCAACCCCCGTGCCCATTCTTCCTTCCTTCGTGGTGAACAACTTCCGCGATTGCGTCCGGTCAAGAAAGCTTTTACTAATCTCCTGAAACACGAGTGGGCATTCACGAGCAGCCCAGTCTCTTGTTCCTGAAGGAATATCACGGCGGGCCCATTCAATCCATGTGAAAAGGTTTGTAATATCTTCGAAAACAGCGCGGCGAGTTGAGCCGTCACTGCATGTAATTGTGTCTCCAATGAGTGTTCTACCAAAGGCTTCGTTAACATGGATGTCTTGCTTATGAAGATATGCTTCTTCTTCATCCGTTGCACATTTCTCCAATGTAAGCTTTAGGCCGCCATCTATCCACCGCAGTAAAGACGTGATGGATATACTCTCAGGGGTTCGAGCTTCTGTGCTGTCTGCTATGACGTCGAGGTGATACCCAATGACACGCAGTTGAGCATCCTGGTGAAGCTCGACGCTGAGCCTTTCGCCGCTGTATGCACTGAAAAGATCCCAGAAATAAGGGTTGGGATTGAACGGAGAGCTTCCGTTGAAGTCGTGGCACCAAGATGGCAGATCATCGACAGAATTCTGCCTATCTGCATATGAAAGAAGACGCAAACTCCTGTCGTTTTGCATTATTTTGCACGTTGCACGGGAATAGACATTGGGTACTGGGAGAGAATAGTCTGGTCGAAGTAAGGTGTCTTCTGTGTGTCCACTGACGAGACCTAGAAGCCCGTACACTTGATCTCTCGGATCTGTCGCCTTTCTAAAATCAACGCCTCCTAGCATAGTATCGAACAACGACAGTTCATTGCCCATCGCACGAGAGGACTTCATCTTGCCAATGCTGCGGATTGTAGCTAAGTTCTTCAGAATGCTGTACAAGGCCGACCACTTGTTATTAGACTGCGCAGCACAGTGCTCATAACAACAGCCATAATAATGCTCGCGCATAGCCTTCTCCGCATCAATGAAAAGTTCAAGAGGGAGAATATGTCTGCCATAATGAATCAGCACACGGCGACCTAGGACCATCTCCTGAAAAACCCAGACTCGGCTCCAATATGGACTCTTCAGCAGAGCATCCAAAGCCTTCGTGCTCTTCTGCCACAGGTCTGAAGGGTATATTCCGATGTTGAAATCCGAGTAGCGCGGGTCTTGGAAGAACGGTAGCGTATTCAAATGGGCGCTGCGGGCGAGTAGCGTCAGCGTTGACAGAGCCCCTATCACAGGCCAGTCCGAGAAGTCATGCCCGTTGGTGAAAAATTGTCTCATCAGGGAAATGTCATTGTCAGTGTACCACTCCAACTTTTCGGAATGCAGTAGAGCTCCGAATGATCCATTGGCTACGCTTGGGACACCCTCGCTATCAGCTGGAGGCGCTCCTATCCAAACTAAAACTTGGGAAGCTGCCTGGTAAATATCACCCATCATTGCTACTTGCTGGGCTTTCTCATCGGTGTCCTTTTGGTTGATACAGACGGCATCGACCCAGAGTATTCGTGGCATATCTGGAGAACGCAAATGACGAAGAGCATTTGATAGATTCGTTGTAACTTGACATTTAGATCTCCCAATAGTGATTTCAGTCACTTGATTTAGATCTCCCCAGGTGTACGAAAGCGCCTAATACAAGGAGTTAGCGACCATTTGCAATCTGCGAGTAAATTGAATAAATGTATAGCATACTTCGAATTGGGCATTTCCGTCTAACTTCTCTGGCTTTATATTACAAATGATTTCATCATCACCTTTTCCGGGAAGTAACTCCAGCGTTCGGATGAGATCCTTCCCGACCGGGCAGGCTGCGTACAACTCAGAAGGAACATGCGTCTTGCCAATCACAGCGGGCGCAGTATCTGCATCGAGGTTCGATATTCCCAATTCTTTGAATATGGAAACCAATGCTGGCCGCTGCTGCATCATCTCCAACAAATTCTCTGCTTTGGCCAATGTCTCTTGAACATAGACCTTCTTCGCCCCATCTGGAAGATCGGGAAGTGCAAGCTTAGCGTTGGCGATAAGCCGAGCGAGACCAGTAGCTGCATCGCCATGTTTGATACCTTCAACGGAATACTGTACGAGATTCATTAAGAAAATATGTCTACCCTCCCCGGCTGCGGTGGGATCTTTGAGAGTAGTCTCGAGTAAGTTGATTGCTTCATGGAGATCGCCGACCACCTGGCTGCGTGTGAAGCGAGTATGTAGCGCTAGTCCTAGGACTAAGTTCGAGTTAGGCAGAACATCATCTAAGACCTTCACCTTGGTGGTGATGTAAGTGATGGTGGCTTCCAAGTCGTCGTCGCTTTTGCTAAGCTCAAATCGCGCCCAGTAAGCCCAGCCTAGACGTTGTACATATAAAGTGTGGACTCCACTGTCTCGTGTAGCCTCGATCACGGCCTGTATAGCAACAATATACTCTTCTGTTGACTCGACACTAGGTGAGAAAATGGCCTTGGTCTGCGCATAGAAGATAAACGTATCCGCTAAGCTGGGTATCTCCGCATGACCAAGCGGCAGTTCCTCTAACGCTTCTCGGGCGTACTGAATAGCATGATTGAGAGAGCTCAAAGATTTTGAGCGCTGGGCGTCGTCGAATAACACCTTAGCAACGACGCGGAGTCGTTTCGAACGATCGATGCCAGCCGGTACCTCCTGCAGGACTTCACGGAAAGTTTCCGATGTTAAAATATGAATAGCTTCTGCCCTAGACAGTCTGGTGCTGTTTGGGTGCGATTCCGATTCCGACGAAGAGGGAAGGGCGGGTTCCATCGTGAAATGAAGAATAGCGGAAAAGAATGATAACGATACCACGGATATGCATGATTGGGACGAAAGCTGAAGCCCATTTATACAGACAATTGGTATACCTAGGCGTCTCGAACAAGGTCACGTCGGCTTCAGCCGCACGCATTGAAACTCGCCACTGTCAGCTTCGCCGTAAACGATAGTCCCATCTTCTCCTCGGCACCTCATTTGGGTCTAGGCCAAATAACTCTATGCCTTGTAAGGCAGAAATTATTGCTTCCCAATGTGCCGCTGACATCATATTCCAGATTCCCGGTTGAAGAATAAGCTGCGGGCGGACGCTGGCTACCTTCACGTTCCACTCACATGCTTACCTAGGTAGATAAGCTAATATTTGGAGAATTATGAACATTTAGCATGTTGCTACTAGGCAGGCATTTTTATAAGGCGTAGCCTGGGGACGGTGGACCAACAATGCCAACAGTGATGCGTAGAACTTATTTTCCAACTTGACATCAACACCTTTAGCTAACTTATATATATATATCTTCTCAATCTAGGCATTACTGTATCAAAGGCGTTAAAGATCAGTAGGTGTTAAAGGTATTATTCATAAGTAAGCTGAAGGGGTATAGCCCGAAGGTAAGCGTCTTAGCAGGTGCCTAGCAAATCTCTGCTAGAGGTGCCGAAGACGCATGACCACCTCCGACAAAAACAGCTTAGACATCTAGATTGGAACGACGTGTAATTTGTCTTTAATTTTTGCACCGCATGAGAATGCTGTCACAACGAGTTTGTCAGAAGCCAATTGCAAGTTAATCAGCAAAAGACTACCCTAGCATGTCGGTCGGAAACCCATTAATTAGCCCCTTGCGGGCTGTCTGTTTCTAGTGGGCGCCTACAAGTAGTTCCTGACCAAGGATGGCCTTGATCTCTTCCAAGTATTTCTGGATGTCCTCTGGCTTCTCAAATCCGTCGTTGAAACTATATACTAGTCTCAACTGGTCCTGGAAGGTGTAAAAGAAGAACATACTCATGCCCATCACAACATCAACGCCAAACTTGAGGTCTTTGACTTTGATTGCATTGCCGTATTCGCGCTGCAGGTGACGCTCAGCAACGCCGAGGCTACTCACAAGGGCATCCTTAGGTACGGGGTTCGCGAGGAACTCGGGCGTCTGCACAGCTCCGCACAACACCCGCACGAAATGACCCTTCAACTCGAGCAGCTCGGGGTGACCTTTAACCGACGTCGCGTAATACTCGGTTAGAGATCGAACGAGGTCCCAATACGTGGTTGGGAGGTTGATTTTGTATGGCAAGGGGGTGTAGTAAACCGAAGCTGCATATTTGCTTGAGTTATATGGCGCCGGCAGGTATGGACGAAGGTTGAACTGGGTGGCTGTCACATATTCCGATAGCTTGGAGTTGGGATCAGCGTACTTCTCGATGGCCTTGATATAAGCGGCATGGACAGCAGCAGACACGCTGACGCCCTTGTTCTTGCATGCCGTGACTAGTGCAGCTGTGACATCCATGGGGAAAACCAGTTCAGTATTATGGCAATTGCCAGAAGCGGCCGCGCCCAACTGCGAAACAGGCCCGATTCCGGGGATGCTGCCGGCCCAGCTCATGAAGAGCGCCGTAGCTTTATCACTGAGCTCTTGAGTCGGCTGCTCAGAGTAGCCGAGCACCTTCTCCATGGCAGGGGCAAGGCGAGCTGGCTCATCGCCAAATTTGATGTCCGTGGCGGGATTCTGAAGGGCTTCAAGGTAGTTGTGCCAGAACAACATGATTCCCATGCCATCGACAGTGTGATGATGGCCTCGGAATACAAGTTCCGAGGACTTTGGAAGATAGTACAGCGTGGCCTGCTTGATGGGCTCCACAGACTGATAAAGTTCCTCAGCGTCAGATGCTGGTGAAACGATGAAAGTTGCTGCAAGCCAGTCTTCCAAAGCTTTAGCATCTGGAACTTCATACACCTTTTTCATTCCTTCAACAGTGGTCGCAATCTGAGGCTGCTCGTAACGTATCTGCTCCCAGGCACGCTTGAGGGCTGCTGGTGCATCTGAATGCGTTAGTTCAAGCTCGATCTTAGAAAAGAGAGTGTAGTGTTCTTTTCCACTACATAAGTCTGCGGTAATGTTGGCCATAACGACAAAGTAGCCCTCGAGGCCATCTACTGGGCGCTCCCAGCGTCTATCTGACACCTTAGTCCACGACATTGTGACTTTGGTCCTCGAGTGATGAAGTGGTCTTGTTCTCTCTCTCTCTCTCTCTCTCTCTCTCTCTCTCTGTGTGTGTGTGTGTGTATGCTTGTGGCTCTGACATCATACAAAGTGCGTATGCTTATAGGAAGGGACACGCACACTTTCCTGAGAAGCTAGCGCGAAGGGCCATGTAGATCACATCCTAATTATAGGATTCACGTAAGCTTCGTTAGACCGAAAATATAACAGTTATCCTACCTACGCTATTAGACGGCGTAGGTCTACTTGTGGACAATGTTGGTGATGCAGCGCTTGTAGCTAGTCATAGTCCGCGATCCTGGCTGCAAGAGTCCAACAGCACTACTAATTCGAGCAACAATTCTAAAAGATTCCCAAAAAGATTCAATGCTCACTGCCTCGCACGTCTCAGGTTACCTCTTACTCCCCTGCACGGTTCAATTCCTCAATCGAGCTATCAAATGAACTCTGTTTGGTGTCTGCAACTGTTACCTATTTATTCTACTACCACTTGAATGGCATCTCCTAATATCCAGCCATTGGGAAAAGGTTTCAGTATGATCATGGCGCTAGACGTGCTAGATGAAAGTCCCGACTGTAGACCGGGCCTGGTTACGCTATGCATCGTCTTGATAGTTCTCGTGATCATTGCGACCATTGGCCGTATTGCATCCAGAATTGTAACCAAGGAGTACTGGTGGTAGGATGACTGCTTCGCTCTGTTCTCTTCTTATGCGAGTCTTCTTTTTACTATCGAGCGCTCGAAGCATGTTGATTTCAGCAAGCTTAAATCCATTCGCCGGCCGGGTCTATAGGGGTCATCATCTCAGCATTACAACTGCTCGTGTTAAGGCAGTTTTCGACTTCACACTGCTTGTTTAGGATTCTCCTCTACTGGACGGGCAACTTCCCTCCTTCCAATGCATTTCCTAGCACCTACTATTAGTGCAAGAAGTGGAACTGCCATATAGGAGTCTCGAAAGAGTTCCAGCTTTAGCACAGTCGATAACAGGCTATGCTCTAACATTTAGGGATTGAATAGATGTTCGCCGCTTGTTATTAACGTAAGTGCACTAGCACATCGTATATTCACAAGTACAAAACTCGAACGCAACCAGACATACGTCAGGCGTCCCCCCACCCCTCCCAATACCATTTGAATTTGAACCGGATCCAGGAAGTCTTATTAGCACCCATTCAAGTCACTGATAGGTATTCCTTACAAGCTTCTACCGGTATAAATACGGAGGGTCTTGAATAAAATAACAATTATCTTTAGGATTAGCTAAGCGAAACAGGAAAAGGTTAACTACTAAAGCAGACAGGGAGGACAATAAAGTGGACAGGGTAGGGTGCATATATCGAAAGAAAGCTTCAAGATTTGGTCGTACAAATTCCGAGTAATAGACCAAATGGTATAAGTCCATAAAGGCATAGTCTAGCCCTATTATATAATAAAAAGGCGTACCACGCCATGATACCCCTAGAGAGGTTCAGCGATAGGGTAGCTTCAGCCAGAGGCTATTACTCCCCATGACGTTAAACAGATCAACCAATCAATCAATCAATAAATCTCTACTGGAAGGGCCGCCCAACGCGATGGTCAAAGGATTATCTACGTTTAGTCCGGTTCAATATGCAGAGGTCACCGCTGTCTTCTTAGACGAGCAGTTTTTGTTTCTATTCAGCTAAGTCACACGGGAATTGTAGTTTTCAAGGAAACAAACTTTTGAAGCATGCACTTTTACCCCTATCTGCAGACTTAAGTCTGTGTTAATAGGTCAGTTATGATTACTTAAAAACGGTAAAAACTCTAGGATATGCCTCACCCTCCCAAGGCTTTCCTACTAAATGTCTGGCTGTGATCAGTCCAAGACTTGTTCTTCCATGTATGGTTATCATGCGGACCGCGGGTAAGAAATTGTTAGAAAGATTGGGTACATAAACTTCATGTACCTGAGTACTGAGTTGTGCCTAGGCAGTCATGTCTCACAAACACACTGCTTCTCTAGTCGATAGCCATTTATATTCCCCATCAGTAGATAGTACTCACGACGAAACACCATTTCTGGATGTATCTGTGGATATATATCATAGCTTCACTTTGACGCTAATCAACTAACGATTTTCTCACTGTCTTAATATTGCGATTCCAACTCCCGCTAACATGCAATATTAAAACGCACTTTCAAATCTCCTGTACCCTCCATTCAGCCAAGTCGATTCAGATCTGGGAAATTGGTCCAAGTCGACGTTGGTACCCATCTGGACTTTGTAGAGGAAGACGTAGCTAACGTAGCAAGAAGCGTTCGAACCGAAATCCCATCCGTCGGGCAGCAAGACGCAGCCGCCAAATTCTACACAGCTCGTAAACTAGACGCTGCACTACGGCACCGGGCCGATGATTACATGGAAACCGAACGCGCCGAAGTTATGGCAGTCATGCTGTACTCCCCCAATGTGGTTTTTACAAATCCAGATGTTGCGCATTAGACGCTCGATAGTCTAATGGTGTTCCCAACATGTGCGAGTCTTGTTATCTTCTCCTCGGTTCCGTACCCATGTATATTCTGCATCGGAAATCTAACAATAATGATGCTAGATATTGAAATTTAATACTAGACCGCAGAGACCCATCCCATGCGAATCATCGTTGAGATATCTAAAAACCTTTCACAGGCCGATGGAATTCGATTTCACCACCTTGGAGGTCGGGAAGCACTACAACACATAGATGGTATAATTTCGCAGTAGACGGTTGATTAGATGAATATTCATTGACTTCCCCTTCGAGGAAAATGACAGCAACCTCGGTTTCAACGGACAGATCTATTTACATTTACGTCACTCGTCGCCTCATGGATCCTAGCTGAAGCATACAATGTACGGCGACTTGGCCTGGGCACACGGTATCAGATGGCTTGCCTTCATCGGAGTCCAGCGGCAATATTTTTAAGTTGTTTCACCTCTGATCAATGCGGACGCACAGTAACTTAAAGGTAGTTGAAATGTTTCGCAAACGTTTCAACAACTTCTCCTAGACTTTGAACCTCGTTAGTATATATGAGTTCTCACCCCCAATCGCTCTATGCGTCCAAGGCTTGTTCTGTACCAGCTTATCATGTCAAGATAGTCACGCCCTTAGCTGATTGGTCTAGATAGACCCTTGCATTGTTTCTCTCCTTTACTTTATTTCATTATAGAGATTGTCGACCGCGAGTGAACAGAGGCCATAACTGCACACTATAAGTTGCTGACGGCCGTCGTCTGCCTAGTGTAGGGTGGGTTCTCAACAGAGCGCTGTCCAGGCCAACTAACTCCAGGCATCCCCTCTGCTGCCTGGGACCAACTAGGTAAGCATTCCCTAGATAGCACACACCGCTATCTCCGTCGCAACATGTTGCCTCTTTGCGCCACCAACAGCACCCAACAGCAAACAGCATAAATATGAGCCTTCTGCCATGGTGCTGCTATCGCATCGGTGCTACGACCGCATGGCTTTGGACAAGGTCTCTTGACGTCTGTCAGCACTAGTTTCTGCGGCCCTTCAACCTTCACACACCTTCACACTGGACTCTTCCAACCCCAGATTACGAGCGTCGTTGCTGCGCCGATCCAAAGTGTGAAGTGTAGTCACGATGCCCGAGTATCCCGGCTTCGGTCTACGGCTACGGCATCATCCCCAAGAGTTTGGCGACATCTATCCGACCGGCCATCATGAACAGTGTCTTATTGAGAAGCCGCCCCCTCTGCACGTCCGAGAGGTGGCCATGATGCATGTCATGGACAGGCTCACGGATAAGCCCGATTGGGACAAGAAAGTCTTCAATGACGAGATTGTCGCTCGTTGGCGCGCAGAAGCCATCGCCTACCCGGATGATGTCCTGTGGAAGCTAGCCGCGACTCATGCGTCTAGTTCGAGAAACCAATTTAAAGGCATTATGACTGAGAGAATGTTCGACTACGTAAGTGTAGCCCTATAAAAAACGAGAATACCAATGATAGGGGCTACTACATTTCTTGTGCTAACGAATTGAAAGTGCATCGAAGAACTTCGAGGCAAAGCCAAGTACTTTGCTGATACTGGCATTGTCCCTACGCTGGACTCCAGCATCGCGACCGCTGCTAAATCGGACAAACTCGTCCAGCCTGACTTGAGGGAAATGCTTCACCAAGGTTTTGACAGATTAAAGAAGGATCAATCAAATACTCCAGACTGGCACCCGGGAACTGATGGAAAGGTCTTGAACCTTGTCCATCCATCCATGTATCCGCTTGTGTATAAGTCGACCAAAGTGTTCCGGGATGAGGTCGTCGGCGTTGCCGATGCTATTGACAGATGGGCAGGGAAAGGCACCATCATCTGCAATGATGAAGCGGGGAGCGAGGCTCCGGATTTTGCGTCTTCTGAATGCTGGTCAGAGAACTACCAATGGCTTCCATCCAACCTGGCTCTGCATGATGACGGCTCTGTGAAGTTTACAAGCTACATTAATAACCTACACCCTACCAAATATCCCGAGATCTATTCTGCTATTGAGCACCTTGTCACGAAGGCATTGCCCATGTGGGATCAGTGTCTTTGGACCCAGCTAGACTACGAAGGGAGCACCCACCCAGGCCGACTTACTCCTCGTTTCTCCCTTCCTACTTACCCGTCGTAAGTGCTCCTATCACTAAAGAAACCCTGTCGCCTTGTTAATCGTCAGGTAGAGATGATAATGAGGAGCTTTGGATCCCTCCGTCGTGGGTAGCTCTGATGCCAACCGCGCCCAATCTGGACGACAACACCAAGACTGAAGAGGAACGCCAAGAAGCCGAATGGGCTCTGGAAGACGAGTTGCAGGAAACGTGGCGGGAGACCCGCCAGCCAGTGATACCGGAGCCCAATCCTTTCGAGGAGGTTGAATACTCTCCCCACAGCCGTCTTTTCGAGAACTTCAAAGACACTGGGCTTCAGATTATCGTTAAGATGGTCTCTATCGAGCTGACGCCGGAAAACCCCACTTACCCTCACGGTTCCTGGCACGTAGGTGCTTGTCTCTCGGTCTCCAATACCATTCACGCTAATTGAAAACTCGCAGGTCGAAGGGCAGATAAACGAGCATATATGTGGCACTGCTCTTTATTATCTCGACACTGAGAACGTTACCACGAGCAACCTCTCCTTCCGGATGCAAACCGATGATTTCTTACATGACAAAGAACCATGGACAAACCTCGGCCAAGACCAGTACCATTGGCTAGAATTGGTACATGGGACTAATATGGGGCCGTCTTGGGGGGCCTGTGTTCAAAATTTTGGGAACATCGAGACCCTCCAGGGCCGTCTCCTTGCATTTCCTAACAGCCTGTGAGTTATCCCTTACATACTAGCTTCACGCAATCACCAATTCTTTACTCACAATCCACAGTCAACACGCTGTATCACCGTTTGAGCTAGTCGATAAAACGAAACCGGGCCATCGTCGCTTCATCGCCTTGTGGCTAGTTGACCCGAATATACGCGTTATCTCCACGGCCAACGTCCCGCCACAACAGCAAGACTGGTGGATAGAGTCAGCGTTTGGACGAACTCCAGAGTCGCAACAAGCAGCACTCGCCAAGCTCCCGGCAGAGCTCGTGCAGCTGATGGAAGAAAAGGGGTCAATCGGAAAGACGCAGCTAGCCAATATGCAAGGGAGACTTCCCGTCGAGCTTTTGGACATAGTGCGTAGGTATTTCGATGAGTCATCGCTGCTGATGAGCACCGAAGATGCAAGGGCTCATCGGCTGAAGCTCATGGAGGAACGCACGGCTTTTGTGGATTCGGCAAATAACCAATTGATCCACTGTTCTTATAATTTCTGTGAGCACTAGTTACCCGATGAAGCGATGGATTCACCGTTCGCTCGGCAAGGGAAGGTCTTGTGACTTTGTAGGGTCTCGTTAGTATGCTACGAAGTTTTACTCTAGACCTTATGTCTTCTATGCCCTGCTGGAGGCCAACCATTGCAGCCAAACAGCTGGGGACACTTGGAATATTCATCAGTTACTTGCTTAGGATCTTACCTCTGCTCCTAGTCAACTTGTTAGAAGGTCTCTTCACCTACCTACAATATATTGCTAGTTATCATATGTGTTGCCTGCTATGGCAGACTTGATGCTCTAGTTTAATGGCCATGCCTTAATTGGATGACCATGACTCTTTGCTTATGCAACATGCATGAGGCGCTTTGGTGGTGAGCCACAGATGATCTCGGATGAGGTTGGGTTAAGCTAGGTTAGTTTGTCTCTTAATTACCTGCCGCTCCATTCCGGGGCCGGCGCCGGGAGCTCACCGAAAATCTATCCCCACGGATGTATTATGCTTGGTCATGCTTAGTCCTAACTATAACCGTGTGTTGAGTAGGATGAACATTTATACTCTCGGACGTTCGAGCAGTTTAACGGTTATTATGTAGCCCTACCTACGTTCAACATATACGTAGACAGGGGTCTGTTAAGAAATGATTTTCATCAGAAACAAGCAAGATGTGGAATCATTGTTACCAAACGGGAAATACCGCATTTATTATAAAGCTGAGAAATTACTATGGCGTTAACTGCCTAGTTAGGATACCTACTAACCACGCAAGGTAGTGACGTATGCACAGCGTAACGGATACTGCATTCAGCACTCATCAACATACTACCGTAAGTATTTCCTCCTTCGACTATCACGCAGGTGCTGGCAGTGCGCTGAAGGAAAAATGGGGGTTCGCAGATTATTACCTCTAAAATCAGCAAGTGTGTGGGGGGTGAGCGGGAATAAAGCTTAAAGTTTATTGTCTTCCCGCAGCATCTCTCCCGCGGGGAAGAAAATCCAATCAAAATAGCAATTCAGTTCATATTTTCCATCTTAAAACTTATTCCCTTCAGATACGTTTCAGGCGATGAAAAGCCAAGACACCCCTCCTTCAGCCTTAGGTAGAGTAGTATTCACCCTGTTCCTCCGGGCTCGCTTAGCTCCCATATTAGCTGGTTCTGCGGAGGCCGTGAGCGGAATCGGAGATTCTTCCTGAATATCTAATCTTCTCACAAATCTTGGAAAGTGTGAAGTCCGAGAACGTGGCTTTTAACTCAGTCTCTACGTTTCAGAATGGATCTCGATACAGATATCATCATTGTCGGCGCCGGCATGTCCGGCCTCGCTTTCGCCGTTCAGCTTGTGCGGCAATACGGGCACCGGAACTTCGAAGTCATCGAGAAATCAAGTCGGATCGGCGGCACGTGGTCGGCGAATACGTACCCCGGGTGTGGCGTAGATGTAATTTCCCCCCTTTTTCTTTCGGTGACTTCATGTTGAGGATGACAATTGTTCTAAATTGATATTGCGACAAGGTTGCTGGGCACTACTACCAATATTCATTTGCCTTGAATCCGAACTGGTCCGTCAAGTATCCGCTGCAGCCCGAGATTCTCCAATACTACGAGGATGTCGCGGATAAGTACTCCATTGGGAAACATATCAGATTCCAGTCCATCGTAACATCAGCACGTTGGGATGAGTCGTCCGGCACATGGCTGGTATCTGTCAAGAACTTGGAGACCTCAGACACATATAACCACAGGTGCAAGATCCTTGTTTCCGCCGTCGGTTTCCTGTCGGTGCCAAATCCGAGTGGTATCCCTGGGGTCGCATCCTTCCATGGCCCGATCTTCCACACCGTCGACTGGGACCATTCATTCGACTACAAGGATAAAGAAGTCGTCATCATCGGTTTGTGTTCTCTTTATTTGCATATCGGTACGCTTATGGACTAACGATGGGAAGGTAACGGATGCAGCGCGACTCAAGTTATCCCAACCATAAGCCAAGGCGACGGAGCTGTAAAGAAAGTAACACAATTCGCACGCTCGTCACAATGGGTTTTGGAGCGCCCTAATCCAGCTCATTCAAGTCTCTTTCAGTGGACTATGAGATGGGTTCCCTTAGCCATGCGCACTTACCGCTTCGTACAGAACTACTATACAGAATGTGACTTCAAGAGCTTCCCTATCGAGAGTGGTGCGCCGATTCGGGACTTGTATAAGAAATATTTCGAGGCGTATATTCGGAGAACGTCTCCTGAGAAGTACCATGAGTTTCTTCTTCCGAAGATCGAAATCGGATGTAAACGCCGCGTCATGGATACAGATTACCTAGACTCTCTACACCGTGACAATGTTGAACTAGTGTACAAAGATCCTATCGCCGAGATTTTTGAAACCGGAGTGCGCACGAAGTCCGGTAGAGTCGTGACTGCAGACGCCATTGTCCTCGCGAACGGCTTTCAGGTTCTCCGGCCCTTGGTGGCCCTCAACATATGCGGAGAAAATGGTCTCACTGTTGCGGATCATGTAAGTTCAGCTCGATCCGACAAGAGGTTACCACTAATAAGTCGGTTACTAGTGGGATAAAGTCAGTGAAGGGTCGGCATCGGCGTACTTCGGCACCTGTCTGTCCGGATTCCCTAATTTCTTCATTATGATGGGCCCTAATACGGCCTCTGGTCATGGAAGCGTAACATACACCACTGAGTGTCAGATCGGCTTCACCCTCCGAGTTATCAAGCCCATCTTGAATGCGCTTAGGGCGCAGCGGTCTCGACTTCCTGTGATTGGGCAGAAGACGGATGTAGTGAGGTTGAAGCCCGAGGCCGAAGTAGCCGACATCAACACTACACAAGAAAGGTTGAAGAATCTAGTTTGGTCATCTGGATGCAGCTCCTGGGCATTGGACCCTAAGAACGGACGCAACACGACAATGTACCCTGATTTCCAGTTCAAGTACTGGCTCCGAAGTATATTTATTCCCTGGCGCGACTTCGAGTTTTCTACCTCGCAGCCCACCGCTGCTGTTATTGCACCAAAGTCGCTTGGCGTTGGCAGCTGGCTAGTTGCTTCGACAAGCGTTGCGGCGGTGGCGTATGTGATATACCAGAGATCACCCTTGGGAAGCTTACGCTAAGAAGGAAATATGGATGCGTGAGCAGTAAGCAGGTGTAGTTTGGAAACATACTTGAACACCATGATATTACATACGTAACGTTATTATCTATAGATGACTCTTTAACTTTAAACCCCATGAGTGATCAACTAAGAAGGCGACAATGTCCGTTTCCCAATACATCTGTTCAGAAGCACTAATATACCTTGTCCACTAGCGACAGTATTATCAAACGTATCCTCTCTCAAACCTCCTGAAGCGACTGCGGTGTAAGATCTATGGTCGCATAAGAGCTCTTGGATCAGTCCCAAGGAGTCTTCTTAGACTTATTCCATTTCAACTTGCTCCGATCTCCCCAACTCCACCAGCCACTCCCACCCATCTTTGAAACCCATTCCCTCTGTTCCCATGAATTCTGCATATACCCTCGTTCCCTCCCGGCTTCTTGCTCCTCCAGCACCGGATCTTTTTCAAGGGTATTTTCCCAGGGCCCTTGCAAGACACCGGTCATGTCCAGGCGAACTTGGTCCCACATCACATATCCCCACTCGCGAAGCTCTGCACGATCCTCTTGATAAACCCAATGTGATTGAAGCTCCTCTATGTGTGCCCACCTCCAGGCATTCTTCGGGCCAGAATTCAGGTCGTTGTAGAACGGCTGCTTTATATAAAACTTTTCGTTCTCTGGCGTTATTTCTCCTAACTCAACACCATCAGGATGTTGCTCATTTGCTTCTTCTTCCAATCCCGCATAAAGGAAGTCACTGTTGAAGTTCGGACAATTGTTAGCGTCTAGGGCCCGATATCGTTCCTCATAGGTTTCTGCGCGGGAAATCTCGTGTATTTTCTCCAGCCCTAGCGATAAAACAAATTGGATGAAGGAGTTGTCGATTTGATTGTCATACTCTACATTCGCGGAACCCCAGTCAACGTCGTGTTCCGCGACATCGTTAAACGCTAGTTTATTGAAGTAAGCCTTAACTCCTTTCTTTGACTACTTGGAATAAGGGGAACTTACATGGTGAAACGGTTCTTACCAGAAAATCGTGAATGCAGCCAAGCTGCTCGTTAGGGGGCAAATTTCGCGAAGAACAGCCGTTTCCGCTCGCTGTATACAGTTGATTTTATGTTTGAGGACCTCTTTCCTGGAATTTCGCGGAATAGGTTGCAGTGAATCTCGAATTGATATAGTGCTCGCTCTATACGGCAACGCTCCTGAAGCGTTGGGGGTAAGTTCAACCGCTTGAGCGGACCGTGTGACAGGGCGACGATCAAGAAGTCGTCGGCAATTGCGTCTACGCAGGAATGTAATCGACTAAGCCGGAGCGCATTTTGTAATGACCATAGCCTAGGATGTACTGATCGCTGGTGAAGGTATTGAGCGACAAAGTCTAAGATAGCTTGAAAGCACTTAGAGTCTGGGTTATGTGGGTGTAGCTGCGCAGACTCGAACGCCGCCGTGGCCTCGGGAAGCACATCGGCACTTATCTGGTTTGATAAAACTCTAGTAGTGATTGCCTCCTCGACATCTAAAAATACGCAGTAGAACAATGAACATGACAAGACAGCTGCATGTAATGACGAGACAACCGGAAGAGATTCCAGTATTTCTCTTAGTAGTTCGACTGGCAGCCCATTTATGGGGCTTGGCTGAAGCCCATCACCTTGAGTCATCCTCGGGGTGAGTATTTCCGCATAGCCTGTAAATCAGTTGAGAGGAAAGATTGTAGATCTCTCTACGCAGTTGGTATGAGTTCAGGTGAAGAAGGAGAGCTTCAGGGGGTCGGGGAAATAAATGAGGAGTCATCACAGCTACACGATGAAATGCATTTGAAGTATCACCTAAGGTTACCTGTCATGTACTACGATACTCGGTATCTGGCCCTCTGAGGTCATTCGGTATGACGAGATAGGCGGTGAAGTGTGCTCGGGCCCCTCAATTGTAGAACACCGGCGTGGCAGGTTGATTCCTTCATATTACATGTGACCGAAGGCTGGTGGAATAAGGAGCAGGCATACGCGGCCGCCGTAGTGATGTTGTTGAGCCCTGTACGTATGTACGCAATAGCCAGAAATAACCGTCGTAAACTAGGATATGCTACAATTACATGAATTTCTATGTCATTAGCTCCATCACACATTTTCACTCTTCATCTCCATCAACGAACATCGACTTGACTATCCCTTGCTTCTCCGTGCGGTGGCACGATTTGGGTCTTCACCCAAGCATTCCTGCTTCATAGCAGACAATGCACAATGTCTGCTCCCTAGACACTGTAGCCACCAGCTCGCTTGTTACATTTGTGTTTAGCAGTCAGCCGCCTGAGACTCCCTTTTATCGGTCAGGAGACCTGGTCTCTTTGGACCTCCAGAATATAGGGGCTCTCCCTGTCTTCTTGTCGGCCGAATATGACGTGACAGGCGTTGGATAGATGGCAACCATCATGGAGATGCTACCCGAGCTGAGTATAAGAGCTTATATTTCCTCCCATTGAACTGTTCTTGGGCTTTCGTCTCAAACAAAGCTACCCTTTTCGTCTATTCACTACTCATAGAAACGCTCGAGAGATCATCAGTACCATGTCATCTAACAGCGGGCCTCATTTCGATGAAGATGGCCACTGTTACTATTTGATCAATGGACAGCCTGTTTGGGGCACTTCGAGTCGGACCAACCCGTTCTCAAAGAGTGGCTCTGATCGTACGATTGCGCGCACAGTCTCCTCGAGGTTCGAATCCCATAGATTTCCTTCGAGAAACCGGACCGAACCTCGAACACCTTCTCCTAGCGACTTAAACAAGAGGTTCAAAACTGGGTTTCCTCCTCGGTTCGAAGCAGGCCGCTACCAAGGAAGCGCACCTGCGAGTGTTGCCAACGATTACTACAGAGACGTTTTAGAGGTAAAGACGAACAGACACGGCCCCCCTCTCAACAGCGAATATGTGAGGCGTTGCAATGAGTATCACGATATGGACCGTGCGGCCAAGGCGGCTGCGATAGATTATAAAGCCTACTTCAACACAGCCACCAAGCAGACGAATAGAACTCGAAACGCCAGTCCCGGTATCTATGAAGGCGATCCTTGGGAGACTGTGGACTGGCATCAAGGTGCAGCTGTATACGCGGATCGTGCTCGAACCTGTTGCCATCAGTAAGCACAGCGCCTTCGAAATATCGTACAAGTGATATAAACTAAAACTGGTAACCTCAAGGGGTGCTGATGGTCATGGTGACGTTAGCGCAGCCTACCTAGGTTACCACAAACGGAAGGACATAAAAGGCCATGAGCTTCGAGAAACGATGCTGAGGGATGATGGGATTCGCTTTGATCGTAGGTACAGAAAGCACTGCGATTCCCACCGTAATTTGCCACCAGAGCAATAATATTGAGCATCCACGACTCGGCCAAAGTGATCAAAAGCAGAATTCATATCTCCCTTGTTGGTGTACTACGATTGTTTAATATTTGGAAAGGGATATTCTAAGATCTTCCATAATGTATGACCATGTTGTGCGGCGACGTTCATCTGGAGTATAGCTATCTAGATTAGTTAATTAATCTATGAATACTAGTGATGTTATTTCCTAGCGTTTGAAGTACCACTCCCCAGCAAATGAGATAATTAGGCCAAATTGATGGCCAACTGGCGGTATTCCCTCTGGCACCCTGCTACCACAAGTCTTTTAATTGGAGTAGCTGAGATATATGTCACTTTGTGCCTAAAAGTGAGCCTATCTACGTATGCCATGTCCTGGCTGGCGTTTCAAGCGGGATTATTGGATGGTATGTAACATAGCCACTGCGCCTGAGAACATTGGTGGCAGTCAGACTAGAAATTCAATCTCCCGTCGATGTCATCTAACTTCTCTTCATTCTCTCGCAGCCACCGCAGCCTTCTCAATTCGTTCCCCACGCCGTTAGGACTTGTATTATATCATAGGAGCAAAAATTCATATACCGCGGAATATTTCCTACTAGCCGTCGCCAGTTTCGTGAGGTCCAGAGATGCTAGAGGGAAAAGATAACCAGGAAACCTTTTCTTTCTCTGGAGCTACGGAGGATATTCCCACCTACGCTAATGAAATTTACGATTAGCTAAGAGAATCGCGATACAAGATTATACTCTAGGCGTTTCTTTAGCTAGTCCAGAGTAAACTGTTTTCACAACAAGGCGATGATACTCTCAAACTTGAGGATAGGCTCGTGAAACACCAAAGCTTTCCAGACTTGCGGGCTAGGTATCTGAAGGCGGGACTGTCGTCTAGGGACTTGTATTATCTTTGGCGGCAACGCAACACAAGGTTTCTTAAGTGAAATGACTTGAATAGAATGGTTCTAGCAGTAACCGTTGACGGTCATTAAGGAACAGAAAGACTGGAAAGACTGCAGATCTTGAAAAGATCGATAAAAGCCTAACTACCCTACAGAGATCATTATAAGTTCTCCCAGATACGCTAATATCCTAATGCGCTGACACGCTCCGCTCAATAACTTAGCAGATCTCACTCTGTTCAAATCTTATACTACTAATCTTACATGGAGCGCTATGCGTATCTACTCGTATCCAAAGCTCTCTGTATAAGTATTAGTGTGAAAGGCTTTGTAAAGCTAGGATTTAATTTGCATTTCTCATTAACCTCCATGGGAACCTTTGTCAACACTTATCCGCACTATAACAAGGGCAGGAATACTGGGCTTGGAATCTAGGCAATTCAGATTACAATGAACAACTAGGGCTGCATGAGTCCTTGACCAACCAACATCTCTCGGCTGTTGGTGGCTTGACTTAACTCTATATACAATTGGTCTGCCAGCCCAGACCGCCTAGGTCTCTGGGGTCTGTTTCAAGAAGCGAAGTCTGTATAACCTCATTTTCCAATATTGCCCAATATTGCCTGCATGTCTTGAAAGATCATGAACAGGTCCTTCGTACGGCCGAAGTGCAAGGCGAACTGCATATTCAGCTTCGTACAGAGGTTACACGTCTAACACGCACAGACATGGCTTTTGAGGCTCTCCAGTCGACTAAGTGGCCAGGATTCAGAAGCATTAGGCTTTATGTTGACCTTTGACTTCTATTGGCACACTAGACTATTTACATGCTTGGAGCACCGTGTCCCACGGAGGGAGCTGTGCTGGTATGGTTCGGGATAGTTCACTGTAACAAGCCTAAGTCCCCCCCACGTAGCGTCTGAGGGTCTTACAAAAACAAAAAGTTTTACAAAAATTGCTAGTATAATGCAAGCGATCATGATCAGGGGGAATGAGGACCTGATAAAATATTGTCTAAGTCATGGCCATCGATTACGTTATCAAAAAACATGCTCTGGAATCTTGTGAGAACCTCTTTCCATTATTTCGCCGGTCTTGCGCACTGGCGTTGTAGTAGTAGGGAATCTGATGCAATAGCCATGTATTGTGCTTACACGATACAACTTGGCCTGAACATATATAGGTCTTTCGCCACACAAGAAGCAATATTGTGATCTAGACTGCGTTTTATTATATTATGTAGCTGTTTCTCTCAAGTCAGGTGATCTGGACAAAGCTGAGCTCATGAGGCGTGGAGGGCTCGAAGAGGTGAGGCAAACGAGTAGTGTAAGCTGCATGATAATAAAGGCAAGGAAGGTATATTTGTTATAGGTATGAACGATTTCCTACGTATTTAGTCAGTCCTTACTTCATGATTCAATCTAGGTACATATCTAGTTCTTGGGGTTAGACGTTGGGGAGTACTCTTCCGACGACCACCCCCATGATAAATACACAGTGCCACCCTAGATTCACCACAACAGAGCAATACACGGCACATAGTCATTCGAAACTCTACCCTGAATCCTCGCACTAATCCTCTTAACGATGCGACGCCCATAGGATGTTGAGTATCGTTACATATTTTTCTAAGGGGATACCTGTGTTACTTTACTATATTTTCCATGGATACAATGCGTTGATTTCTTCGATTGTGAAGACTCCCAGTAACGAAAGCTGTATAAATGCCTATTGAAGTATAGATGCTATCTATCTCTTTAGGTGTGGGTGACCGTAAGCATTGACAACTACACTCATCTACGGCAATGGCGGAATTATGTGCCACAGTACCATAGAGACGCAGGGTCTCGAACTGAAAGCAACGTTTACCTTTTGGTAGCGTAGCGAGTACAGCACTACATTCCTATACTCGTTCCGTGACACCATGTTCGTAGTCACTCTCAAGGTATCCGTTAGCGAACAAGCTTGCCCAAGTGGGTTCGGCGTGCTGAGCTGAGCAAGAAATTTTGAATGAAGACTTAATCAAATAGGAGGTGGCCCTACTCACTGTATCCATATATTGGCGCTTGCGAACGCTGTCAGACCGGCTGCAGCTCTATGGCTCGCCGCTGTTGTTTTATTCGAGCATATATTGCATATCGTGTTCTTTGATCAAAGAGTTCTCAGGGCACATTGCATCATTTTAAGCAAGTTATCCAGCTAATAGAACTACAGCTATTCAGTATCAAGAAGTTGGACATAGTCCTTGGAGGATCTTATGATAGTTAACCATAGACGAATAGGAAGGTGCATGTACCTGAGAGCTGACACAGAGATGATATACTTAGGAACCGTGGTTGATCCCTTCGGCACTCCATGACGATGCGGGTTGATGCGGGTCACGTCTTGGCAGATCTGGGGGCTGTGAGTGGAAATCATGTTTCCGATCCGTGGCGCAGGTGTTCGGCAAACGCCCAGATGACGCAATTGAGGCCGCCACAGTCGCATTTATGTACTGTCTTGGGGATGGAAGAGCAGTAGATGCTGCTAGATATAAGAAGCGAGGTAGGACAGATGGTGAGTGCTGACGCGCGACGCTTCGGGGCAGAGACAGATCTGAATCTCGTCTCACCGGGCAGAGAAAGCGCCTGTCACGGAATGACATAAGGAGTGCAGTACTATGCCACTACGCCACTAAAAGGTAACGACGAGTTATCAAGTCGAAGGTTTGATGTCTCTGTATTCATTATATAATACTATACTATGACAGTACCCCTTACTTTAAATGTAATCGACCCGATTGCATATAAAGAAGTGCATATCCAAAGGTAATATATATAGTTAATACCTAAAAACCCCTATAGTAGTTTTCCAATTATATAAACGAG